TCCCTCCCTCTCCCTCTCTCCCTCCCCCCCCCATCTTTCTCTCCCCCCTCCTCCCTCTTTCCTGCCTCCTGTTCCCCCCTTCCTCTGTCTCTAAAAGTCAATAAATAGAAAAAAAAATTTTAAGTATGGAGTTTAGCTTTAGAGAATGGGAGTTTTCTCATAGGATTGTAGAGTTGTCTATACTGAGGTTACAGGTTAGGGCACCAAGGCCTAGAATTTCATTGCTGAGGACCATAGCTACTAATGGCAAAGCTGGTACTAATGGCAAAGCTGGTTCTAAAACCTAGCTCTTGTGACTTTGTCCAGTGGTTGCCTGTTTATTCTGTCATGCTGCCTTCCCTTTGAGCCTCTGCCCTCCCAAAGGGGGGAGAATGGCAGGGAACTGGTACCCTGCTCCACCTGTAAGTAGTGATGCAGCAGGGAAAGCTTTGGCTCCTCCCTTTCTTCCTCCAAAACACTGAAAATCTTTTTGGCTGTCAAAAACCACCCCTTGTCCCGCACAGACCTGATGATCGATCAGTCAAGATTTCCAGTACATACCCTCTAGAACAGCAGTCACAATCAGTGGTCCGCAGACCACTGGTGGTCGTGAGGTCTGAAAGGTTGGCGACTGCTGCTTTAGAAAGATGGCTGTTAGGAAGTAGGGAAAGGAGAGAATCCTGACCTAAGGGGGCTCATGTTTTATGAAGTAACTGAAATGTTCTAAATTTTTATTAATAACCTGTCAAATAATTGTTTTATATAGTTATTTACCAACTTGTAGGGGCTGATGTACAAGAAAAGTATTTCCTTAAAACATTTCTAAAGGAAAATTTTGCCTATTAATTTTCTAGATTGTGCTAGTATAGTAGGATAGATATTGTTAATGCAGATACTGATTGTAACTGAACTAAAGAAGACAAATACTTTGTCATTTTGAAAAATGAGCTTCATTTTCTTCTAGTCTAATGGATGGGATCCCAATGATATGTTTCGATATAATGAAGAAAATTATGGTGTAGTGTCTACATATGATAGCAGTTTATCTTCATATACGTAAGTTTAAAAAGTTTGCTTTTACTTTAATGCATTTGTCTTTGGTTATCAATTTAAATTAGGATGTTGAATAAATTCTGTTGCTTTTAAATTAAACAATTCTGTGAAAGCATTATCTATTACTCCCTAAGCTGATAAATTCCCATTAAAACAGGGAATACACATAGTTTACATATACTCTAAATGTATGCTCTATAAACATTTTATAAACTAAATTAGCAAGTCTAGTAGTTATGGGGGGATAATCAATTTAACTGGTTTTGGAAATGTTATATTCCTTTAGGGAAAAGAACATAATTCAAGTTTTGTTTTCCAGTAAATATATCACCGTAACTCTCTTACGGTTTTACCAGAATTTCAAACTCTAAACTCCCTTAATAGTTGATTGTGACAGTTATATAAACTATGACTTTACTCACTTTGCTTTTTGTTTTCCTCATGTTTCAGGGTGCCCTTAGAAAGGGATAATTCAGAAGAATTTTTAAAACGAGAAGCAAGAGCAAACCAATTAGCAGAAGAAATTGAATCAAGTGCCCAGTACAAAGCCCGGGTAGCCCTGGAAAATGATGATAGGAGCGAAGAAGAAAAATACACAGCAGTTCAGAGAAATTCCAGTGAACGTGAGAGTCACAGCATAAACACTAGGTATTTAAAGGAAATCATGATGCAGTATTTTGGATACACCATTCAAGGTCTGTGTGAGAAGGTGTATTATTATTATTATATTTCATCCTTTAATGTAGCTTAGGTAGGAAATGCAAATGGAATTGCTTTAAGGTTCTATTAGAGAAAAGATTATAGAAATCTTAGTATTTTTAGAGCATCAGCTTTCTGTTGTCAAGTGTTGGATATACAGCGATGAGTAAGCCAAGGTCTGGAAGAGCTCTTTTAGATGAGCGGTGTGTTCAAAGTACTAGGGACGTTCAGAGTGAGGAGGAACTAGCATAGCCTGTAGGGTCAGAGGGGGTGACATTTTGTGATAGCATAGTAGATCTGTTGGCCACTCAGAGAAATAGAAGAATTCCTCACATGGTGAAAAGATATGTGGAAGAACCCCACCACATATCTGAGGAAAAGGCCAGTTGTTTCATGTGTGTAGGATACAGGGTGAGTGTTGAGGGTGCAGGGGTGGCCACTGGTGATAGGAACTGAGGTAGTGAAGGGCTTCACATGTCACATTAAAAGAGCACCTTGCAGGCAGGGGATGATGTGAAGGAACTCTGGGACACTGAGAACTGACTGAACCATGGAGACCAGTTAGTGTTGCAGTAGTTCAAGTGTAAGAACTTGGTAACCAACTAGACCAGGGCTAGCAATAGAAAGGTTAGAAAAACCAGGGGTGACTGAGGTTTATTTGATAACTAAGTGGGCTGGTGGTTGTACTGGTAATGGAGACAGAAAACATGGGGCAGGTTTGAGGGGAGATATAATGAGTCTATCTGCAGTTTATTGCATTTGAGGGCTTCACGGATCTTCCATTCATCTAGCCACACGTGTTGAAAAGCACCTGCTATATATTTGGCAGCGTAAGCTTTGCATCCCGTTCCACCACACTCCTAGCTGAGAGTCTGGTGATTTGAATGAAAGTGTACAGTGGGAGATGCTGAGACTGGGACTGGCAGGGGAACTTGGGATTCATCAGCATTGTTGATATTAAAGTCATGAAAAACCTTGAGTAGGCACAGAGAGAAGAGATCTCAGAAAACAAAGAGAAAGCCAAGGAAGAACAAAGTTTCAGGAAGGTAGACTATGCTTAATAGAGTCAGCCATGAAGAGGCAGAGTAGATTAGAATGAACACACGTCTGTTAAACTTTGCTGAGGAGGGAGAATCTGAGGGAAATGAAAGGCGGGAGCTAGAACTCAGAGTAAATTGGAAGCAAAAGGTTTCTGGGAGTGGGGCAGTTTGGTTTAGTGTTTAACCTTTTTATAAGAAGAATTCCCTTCTGCCTAAATTACTTTTAGGTTTGTTTTATTGGCCTGGTTCCTATTAGGATAAAGTCATTTAGAGGATCTCTCATTTTCAGGGAAAATAAATATATTCCTCCTGGACAAAGAAATAGAGAAGTCATGTCCTGGGGAAGTGGGCGACAGAATTCACCGCGTATGGGCCAGCCTGGACCGGGCTCCATGGCATCAAGATCCACTTCTCACACATCAGATTTCAACCCGAATTCTGGTTCAGACCAAAGAGTAGTTAATGGAGGCAAGTATTTTGACCAAATTTGTCAATGTTATTGATAAAATATATCGCTTTCTAAATAATTACAAGTTTACATAATGATAAGAATGTGCACACCTTAATTTTTGTGGAGTTGTTTTCACTTTAAAAAATTATTTAAATTTACCTTTGTGGATATCAAATTAGTAAAGTTAGTATAAGTAATTGGAATACATTTAGCATAATGAGAAATACTCACGTATTAAGATAAAGTGCTAAATTTAACCAAAGACATTCACTTGGCAAAAACAAAAAACAAACAAAAAACACTCCACATATAAAGAAATTGGAAACTTTGGGTAGGTTCTCAATTTTAAAAACACTGGATGATAAAGTTATTTACACAAAATTTAAATGGAAAATCCTATTCTGTGTGAAACACTCAGTGGTTAATATAGATTCATTTTCACTTACTGTTTGCTTATATATTTATATTCTGCTTATTTCAAGAAAAGATTTGAGGTGACTTGACAAGACATGACCAACAGTCATGTGAAGAAGGTGACGAATGAAATGTGCTTTGAAACAACCAAAACAACTCTTAGTGTAAAGATGGCTATTGTAGTTTAGCTTAAGTAAAAGAAACTTGCATCTTTAGTAGGAAGAGATACTTCTACTCTACCTCTAAGTCTAGATTGAATATAGCTCATAGGTCATGGATCTTTAATATAAGTCTGGTATACTAGACAGCAGTACCGTAGACAGTGTGGAAATATAGTAATTAATAATACTTAAGGGGGAAAGTGGGCAATCCATTTTAGGTATCTAAGTTTGGAAAGTTAGGAGGAAAAATAGAGAACACTAAGTTTCCAATTTCATTTTATTGAGTCTTTCTCCAGAATTCCTCTCCAAATGAACACTCTTGAGTATTTTGTATACTTAGTATTGGGGGTGAAATTTCTTTGCTCACTGAGTAAAGAATTTCAGTTGTTCATGAACAGAATTTCCAAAGTAAAAAACCTGAAGGGGCTGGGAAATGTATGATACTCAAGTGTGTGGCAGCCTGTGGAGAGGAGACCTGGACTGTTTGCTAAGATGAAGGTAAGTGATATGCTATGTTTACATGTTAGCTGTATTTTGACCTGTGCATATCCATCAGTGTCAGTTATTTGGTAATGACTGCTCTGTAGTTGTATTGTTCATTAAGCAGTTTCTTAGATGAGTTAATTATCTTTAGATAAGTAAAGCTGCATAATTATACAGAAGGTCCCCCTTTTCCTTATTTGATAAGATTAAAATGTTTTTTGAGAAGGCAATGAGTGTTAACCTTTGTCACTCCCATGACTGTAGAAAATAGTGGAAGTAATGTTTTATTTCTACTTGAATGAACTTGCTTAATGAGATTTCAGACTGAAGTTTATGTTCAAGTATAAACTAGATGAAAATCAGGAATGGTTATGAGAAACCAGCATTTTTAATGGGATTTTATAGTTGATGCTTATTTTCATTATGTTTCAAAAGCTAAAACTAATGTAAATGTTATTCCTGAGTTTTCTGATTTATTGTGTGAAATTATATGTTATACTTCTTTTATCTATTTACTGAGAAACAGTTGTAGAAGTAGGATTAATAGGCAAAGTCTTAACTGTCTTCTTCAGTAGTATGTGTAGATCCTAATTAACCCTTTGGGAACGTGTGTTCATTTAAACAGATTAACTTTTAAGGAGGTTAAAGTAAAATGTGAATTTATGTCAGTTTAAGTTATGCTAAAACTTATCACAAATCAAATGACTGTCCTCAAAGGGTTAAAATGTACAAGAAATCATTTTTGTCATTTTACTTTTTTTTCTGTTTACTTTTTTCCCTCATTTTTTTCTTTAGTTTTTATACTTTCCTTCATATCATTTGTTCTGTCAGGTGTTCCCTGGCCATCGCCTTGCCCATCTCCTTCCTCTCGCCCACCTTCTCGCTACCAGTCAGGTCCCAACTCTCTTCCACCTCGGGCAGCCACCCCTACACGGCCGCCCTCCAGGCCCCCCTCGCGGCCATCCAGACCCCCGTCTCACCCCTCTGCTCATGGTTCTCCAGCTCCTGTCTCTACTATGCCTAAACGCATGTCTTCAGAAGGTACAATACCACAATTTGTTCATGTTTTTGTTTGTCTTTGTTTAACTCCTGTGTGAGTTTATAATTAGAAAAGTTTCCTCTTCATTATTTGATAACCTATAATTTCCGTGTTTTAACTTTAGTTTATTAAAACTATTTCTATTAACCTTTTGTTCATTAGAGAGAAATTTGATAAAATGCTGTGTGAAGCTATGAACTATCCTGAATTGTAAGAAGGGGGATTATCTCTGCCTGGTAATGATGCTCCTTTACAGCCCCAGCAGGTCTGCCCAGGGCCTCCCTGATACGATGATTAATGGCGAACCATGAACTCTTCACCCAGTCTTGGACTTACTGTAGAACCTATCATTTTATAGCTCCTTGGCCAAGGTATTAGTGAACCTACCTGTTGGCCGTAGGCAGGAGTGGTGATTTAGGGATATTTTTTGAGAGGGACATTCCATATAGCTGCCTTTTTGTGTCAACCCTTAGATTACAATAATGTTTGGTTTTATGTTTGGGGAATTAAAAAAAATTAGCTTTGCAATATTTTATAATGAAAGTACTTGAATCTGGAAGAAGTTCTGGATCTAAAGTAAAATTGTTAATAAAAACCATATCTGAATTTTAATCTTCAGGGTTTTGTTTTTTATTTATTTTTGCCCTTGTAGGAAAAAAGAATATAATTCTCAGTCAATATGTGATGCTAATTTGCCATTGCTACACATCAAATATATGGATGTGTTGTAGAAAGGTCACATTTTAACTTAAATGCAGTGCATAAATTTTTTGACTGATAATGTCCTTTTGATCAAATGTTTTTTATCTGATTTGTTCATTAAAATTGCCTTTTATTAGCTTCTGTTGAGACTGATAAGGTTTTCTGGTGTAAAGTGCTTCCCCGGAGAAAACTATGCTACCTGCTTTTTAATAAATTGTTGCCCTCCAATCAGAGAGGTCGTGTGACCTTGACTACAGTGGCTAACCTTCAACAGCAGGTTGCGCTGATCTTCAAGGTGACTTCCTTACTCTGAAGTGCCTGTAATGGTGGCCACTAAACAAAAAGTTAAATTCTGTCAAAGTATTGTCAAAGGCCGTTGTTTAATTAAGTGATGTTGTTGTCATGACTATGTTGGGTAAACAGGACTCCTTAGTGAGTGTGAACGTCTACAGTGAGGTGCATGGGCTGCTTGTGGACTGACTGTTCGGGCAGAAATCACCTTCTGACTAATTGGATGCTGCATCTTAGGTTTCTTGTTAACTAATTGGAATTAAAAAACGTTTTCTAATCATGTAGGTAGGTGACAGTGAAGCATTTTTAAGTGTAAACTTCAAAATTAAAGCTATTAAATATAGTGGTTTTCTGTGCTTAATAGAGGGGAGTATATTTTGTTTCTATAAGTATTTGATATGTTACCAAAAAGAATGAGGTTTTTTTTAAGTTGCAGTTTGATTTCATTGAGGCATGCCAACCTACTTTAGCAGTCTTTTTCTAAGAGATATAAAAAATATGTAAAAATATGCAAATACCCAATTCTTAAATCATTCTTTGATAGAAGTCAATTATGTCTCCTGTTGAAAACTATAATATGTAAGATTAACATCCTTTTTAAGATTATATCCATGATTAAATTCCTACCGAGGACACAAACTAATTTGACATTATGTAAAGTTTGGCAGCAGGTGAGGTGAGGAGCCTGCGCTTTGACATGAAGGAGTTTTGCCAAGTGTTGGCACTGTCTGGCTTCTCTGATGAGAGCTGTTCTGTCCAGTTTTGACCTGTTTTGTTTGAAAGTACAGTAGACTTCTTTAGAAATAAAGTTAAGGGGGTAACAGAATTAATTATGTAGAATTTTGATAATTCATATCGTGCAAATTTCTTCCCCAAATGTCAATTATTCTGGTTTTAAAAGTCATGCCTTAACAGTAGGATTTTCAGCTCATAGCCTGTTGAATGAGGAACTGCTTACTGGTGAGAACTGATTAAGGCATGGGTTGTAAAATTGATTACCATGGCAGAAGAGGTAGAGAAATTTAAGGAGGGTATGTACATATATATTAATAATACAAAGATATATAGGGATTCCTAATTTTTTAAAAAATATTTTTATAATTTTAGAAATAATATAGAAAATTTGAGGGAAAAGCTAAAAGTATATATGGTAAAATAAAAATTATAGCATCATGTAGCTATAACTTCTGTTAGCATTTTATATGTATATTTAAATGCTTATAAATAATGGATATAGGTTAAATTGCTAAAATCTTTGAAGAGTTATGACATCTTATTGTGTGATTTCTTACCATCAACTTCATCCCTCCCTTTCTTTAAAAATAAAGAGAAATAAAATAAAATTTATTTATAAAACTTTATAGCATTCTACAAAATAATCCTGAAAGAATACGGCCAAAAATATATATGCCCCCTCCCCCCCCAAACCAAGGAAAAGAGAGAAAGAATCAGATGTGTGTGAATGGGGTGTTGTATGTATTTAGCAGAAAAGTTGTACTGATGGACATTGTGGCATTTATGTATGTTCGCTCTTCTTTCTTAGGGCCTCCAAGGATGTCCCCAAAGGCCCAGCGACACCCTCGAAATCACAGAGTTTCTGCTGGAAGGGGTTCCATTTCCAGTGGACTAGAATTTGTATCCCATACTCCACCGAGTGAAGCAGTGGCTCCTCCCACAGCAAGGACCAGTCCAGCGGGGGGCACGTGGTCATCTGTGGTCAGCGGGGGTAGGTAACACGTGGATTAGAGCATGATGACAGTGTTCATTTTGTAATTCTAAATGTAAAAAGGGCTGAGCTCAAGCTGTTTGAGGAAGTATATGTGTATATATTAAAAATGAAGTAACCAGCCCTAACCGGTTTGGCTCAGTGGATAGAGCGTACTCTCATCATATGTTAGAGCAAATCTGTGATCATTCTGAATTTCAGTGTCTCAGTGAGTAAAATTTTTGCCTAGTCTATTTATGAGTGTGCAGGAGGCAGCTGATCGATGTTTCTCTCTCATCGATGTTTCTAACTCTCTATCCCTCTCCCTTCCTCTCTGTAAAAAATCAATAAAATATATTAAAAAAAAAAATGAAGTAACCAGGAATTGGAAAATGTATATATTCTGGGCTCTACAACTTACTCTCATCATATGTTAGAGCAAATCTGTGATCATTCTGAATTTCAGTGTCTCAGTGAGTAAAATTTTTGCCTAGTCTATTTATGGACTTTTGATGAGATTCATATGCTACTTATAAGTATGAATATACTTTTTATATATAAAGTACTGAAATATAAGTTAAGTACAGAATGTAATGCCGTTTGGAGGGACCATATTTCCTATCCTCTTAGTAGCTTGATTCATTCCACATACATTTATTTTGGGCTCACAGTGCTATGTGTTTCTATGGCATCTGTATATGGCACTAACTACTGACTATACTTCCCTTACACGAAATATCAAACACAGGAGAGGCCCAAGATTTATCTGTGACTAGCCTAAGGAATGTGCTGACAGCAGCTATGTATAAAAAGTACACACACTTTGCCCTAGCCGGTTTGGCTCAGCAGATAGAGCGTCGGCCTGCGGACTCAAGGGTCCCAGGTTCGATTCCGGTCAAGGACATGTACCTTGGTTGCAGGCACATCCCCAGTGGGGTGTGTGCAGGAGGCAGCTGATCGATGTTTCTCTCTCATCGATGTTTCTAACTCTCTATCCCTCTCCCTTCCTCTCTGTAAAAATCAATAAAACATATATTTAAAAAAAAAAAAGTACACACACTTTGACTCGATCTTATAATTAAACTAAGACTGCTTTTTCTACTTATGTTTTGCTTTCATGATAACTATAGAGAGGGCATGCAGTGATTGCGTATTTTGGTCACAATCTTATTTTAATCAGTGCATCGAACCTTTAAAAGAAAAAATACCTTTAAGCTTAACAAACAAAAATATACCCAACTCTGTTAAATGTCTTTAGTTGATATACACTGCTCAGCTTCATGAATGTGTAATTATATTGTAAATTCCTTTGCACTTTCTATTTTTTTCTTTGGTCTCCAATTATAAGTAAATAACAATTCAATTAACAAAATAGAATTTCTAAAAATCTGTATTTCTCCATTTCTACCATTAATCATGTGACATATTCAGATGATCTGGAAATGAATTTTGAGAGTAAAGCATGATTACAGGAGTGAAAGAGTGAAAACATATTTGTTATAAATACATATAGGACAGTATAACAAGTTCTTTATAATAATTTTAAAAATTGCAAATGTTGAATAATAATTTCCCTCCATGACCCTTGTGACTTAAAGTAATGAACCTCTAATGTGAAGCAAATTGAACCATTTTCTCTATACCTTTGAATCTGAGCTCTACAAATGTGTTTATAATAGAATATGAAACCTAATTAGATACTTATTTTGAGACTGTGCATATGAACCCTTGCTTGGGTTATCTTCCCCTCCTGGCTAAATTGAATCCCCGATTTCCTTAGTTACTGCAGAATGGATCTTGATGTGGCAAGAGAGAACATATAGGATTGGTTGCAAGCTGCTAAAAGGTGTTTGAGTTTGTTATTGGAAGGAGAAATATATAAGCCTGCTTCTTAGGGATCCACACACACACACACACATACCTTTAAAAAAAATTTCTATTGATTTCAGAGAGGAAGGGAGAGAGAGAAAAACATCATGGGTGAGAGAGAATCATCGATTGGCTGCCTCCTGCACACCCCATAATGGGGACTGAGCCCGCAACCAGGGCATGTGCCCTGACTGGGAATTGAACTGTAACCTCCTGGTTCATAGATCGATGCTCACAACTGAGCCACACCAGCCAGGCTACACACTTTTTTTTTAAAAAAAAAGAAACTGTCTCACTTTTTAGTAGAGAATATTGCTATCTTTATTTTTTAAAGTGACATTTATCTTACCTTAGAAATCCAGTTTCTAACTTCATTTAAAAAAAAATATTGCCTTTAGACTTAATATATTTAGTTAGAAGAAAAAAACTACAGTTGTACTTAGTTATTAGTATATTCTCAATCATTACCATTTTTACTAAGACTTTGGAAAAGAAAAACAGTGATGGGATAGGGCAGTGGTCGGCAAACTGCGGCCCCTTGAGTGTGGCTCTTCCACAAAATACCACGTGCGGGCGCGCACGTACAGTGCGATTGAAACTTCGTGGCCACACTCAAGGGGCCAAAGGGCCGCATGTGGCTCGCGAGCCGCAGTTTGCCGACCACTGGGATAGGGTAATTGGGAATGGGGGTCAGATAGGACTATTTTTACCTAGATCTTAAGCTCTTTGACGAGGTGACATTTGAGCTGAGAATGTAATGGATAAGTTTTCTTTTTCTTCTAGTTCCAAGATTATCCCCCAAAACTCACAGACCCAGGTCTCCCAGACAGAACAGTATTGGAAATACTCCTAGTGGAGCAGTTCTTGCTTCTCCCCAAGCTGGTATTATTCCCACGGAAGCTGTTGCTATGCCTGTTCCAGCTGCATCTCCCACGCCTGCCAGTCCTGCATCTAACAGAGCTGTCACCCCGTCTATTGAGGGTATGTAAGAAAGGACAGGACTTCCAATCCGTCCTGTTGTCTGCAGAGTGCAGCGTTACAGGTTGAACATTATACAAAAAATGGTATGCTTTATTCAAGGATAGGTATTTGTGTGTACATTTAAAGTTTCATGTAAATGAAGTTAGCTGTTTAAGTAATACTGCTAATTTTATATGTTTTTGTTGACTGTTTTTTGTTAAGAGAGTTAACATTCTTGAGTAGTAAATATTAACAAAATTATTGATGTTTCATATGTCTGCAAAGGAGAAAAGCCTCTTTAAATGGAAATACTATTTTCCAAAAAAGTAGGAGACAAAATTTTTTGAATATTTTCCCATTTTACTTTTCTAACATTTACCTAACTTTGAATTTTTTTAAAAATTATTTTCTAGCTAAGGATTCCAGGCTTCAAGATCAGAGGCAGAACTCTCCTGCAGGGAATAAGGAAAACATGAAGCCCAATGAGACATCACCCAGCTTCTCAAAAGTTGAAAATAAAGGTGAGAGCTTTAAAAAGTCTTTAGGGAAAACTGTAGAAATAGAAAGGAGTATGTCTAATCTCATGCCCAATATAGAGTATTTTTGTACAACACTTTTTCTTAGTATTGTGCATATTTAAATGCATAATGTGACAAATGCTAAAGCCTATAATTAATGTATTAAAATTTTTATTATTTTGATAATAACTTACTTTCATTTAAAAAAATATATTTATTGATTTCATAGAGGAAGGGAGAGGGAGAGAGTGATAGAAATAGCATTGAAGAATTAACTGACCAGCTGCCTCCTGCACACCCCCGCTGGGGATCCAGCCCACAACCCAGGCATGTGCCCTGACCAGGAATCGAACTGTGACCTCCTGGTTCATAGGTCCATGCTCAACCATTAAGCCACACCAACCGGGCAAATTTATTTTAATTTCTAACATCCTATCCTAAAAGAATTTAAGTTAAAGATTAGAAATAAATCAGTAATCGTTACTAATTTTACAGGTATATCACCAGTTGTTTCCGAGCATAGAAAACAGATTGATGACTTAAAGAAATTTAAGAATGATTTTAGGGTAAGTGTTGCATTAGAATCTTAAAAAATAAATGTTAAACATTAAGAATTTTTATGTTATCTGTTTATAAAAATGGATTATATATACAACCACAAACATCGAACTGTGTGCATAAAAAGCTAAACATTCTTAAAGTTGTCTTTGCCTATGCTTTAGGGTAGCTAAAATCATGAGATTTTATAAGAACAATATAGATATAAGATGAAAGGGAATATAATTTGTAACATTCGAAGCTACCATAAGTTATTATTTGGTGTTCATTTGATTACTTGATTCACTGAAGAGCAGAGAAAGACCAAGGTGTTCATTATCTGATGTGATGTCAGATACCCTGCACTCTGGGGTGGTGATGTAGTTGCAGATTTACATTTTGTGCACAGATTCATTGTGGTAGCAATCGTTGATGGACTTGCTGAACATACTGTAATCTCACCCGGATAACTGTTTCATTCTTTTGCTCAATATTTACTAATACACTGTGCATATCAAGGTATATTTTGAGACCAACTCAAGAAATCACCCTGAAACTTAGCTTCTCAGTGGGAAAAAAATCTGATCATCAGCCTTTCCCTCGCTAAAGTCCTCCTGTGATCTATTCCTCAGCTGCACTCTCCTGTCAGAGGGAAGAGTATTTTTCCTGGACTCTTCTTTTTTATTTATTTAATGCCATAACTTTTTATTTCTTTTGCATTATGTATGAGTTCTCCAAACAGGATTTCTAGGTTAGGTTCCTATACACTTCTTTTCACTGCATATGAATAGATCTCTAAGCAACAGATACTATTTTTCATAATCTTCATTTTGTTAGCAATAGATATTCTTGCCTATTTGCTTTTGTTTCCTCCACATTATTTTTTACAGTCAGTCATTCAGTTCCTTCTTAGAGTACACTGCTTTGAGTTTATTAGGCTTTGAAGGAAAGAAATATTTTTGCTTTGAAGCATATAAGTTGGTATATTTTTGTAACAGTTTTATTGAGGTAAAAATTGACATACAGTTTAGCCATTTTAAAGAGTATAATTCAGTGGTTTTTAGTTTATTCACAGAGTTGTACAACCATCATAACATTCAATTTTAGAAGTTTCGTCATCCCAAAAAGAAGCCTCATACCTCTTAGCAGTCACTCCTCATTTGCTATCAAATACCGCTGTCCCCACAAGTCTTAAACAACTACTAATCTGTTTTTTGTCTCTATAGATTCCCCTATTCTGGACATTTTATATGAATGGAATCATACAGTATGTGGCCTTTTGTGACTGCCTTATTTCATTTAGCATAATGTTTTCAAGGTTCATTTATGTTGGAGTATCTATCAATACTTCATTCCTTTTTACAGTCTATCCATTACAGTGGATAGACTATGTTGTTGATCCATTCATTAATTGAGGTGTCCTTGGGTTGCTACCACTTTTTTACTATGAGTAATGCTGCTATGAACATTAGTGTACAGTTTTAGGGTGGACATATATTTTTATTTCTCTTGGGAGTGGAATTTCTGGGTCATACGGTAACTCTGTTTTTAACCTTTTGAGGAAAACTTCAGGCTGTTTGCCAAAGCAACTGTACTATTTTACATTTCCACCAGCAGCATATGTCACAGTCATAAAGATTTGCTCTCTTTTTATTTTTTTAAAATATATTTTTATTGAGTTCAGACAGGAATGGAGAAGGAGAGAAAGATAGAAACATCAATGATAAGAGAGAATCATTGATCGGCTGCCTCCTGCATTGGCTCTGTCCACTGAACCAAACTGGCTAGGGCTGCTCTCATTACTTTTAAGAGCTGTGATTATTTTAAGTAAATTTTTTTTGGGGGGGGTATTCTTTTGTTAAAAGTATATTTTATTTTTTTGTTATTTTCTTGTTGTTAATCCTCACCCTAGGATACTTTCTCCATTGATTTCCAGAGAGAGTGGAAGGGAGGGGGAGAGACAGAGTGAGAGAAACATTGATGTGAGAGAGGCACACCAATTGGTTGCCTCTCACACACACCCTACCGGGGATCTACAACCAAGGTACAAGTCACACCCAAGACCCTTCAGTCCGCAGGCCGACGATACAACCACTGAGCCAAACCAGCCAGGGCTTGAGTAATTTTTTTTATGTTGTGTGAAGTAGGACTCCAAATTCATTCTTTTGCATGTTGATATGACTTGTCCCAGCACCATCTGTTGAAAAGACATTTCATTGAATTGTACCCCTGTTGAAAATCTATTGACTGCAATTATGAAGGTTTGTTACTGGACTCCGTTCTCCACCATAGAGCTATGTCTATCTTTTAAGCCAGTACCACACTGTCTCTGTAATATCTTCATTTAATAGGAAACATTTTGCTATCAATTCACAACTTTCTGTAAATCTTTTTTAATACTTGACTCCTAAATTCCAGGTAGATAATAGCATTAAAACTCTATCTCTTTAGGATTTTTAGTTCTATTACTGTTTGGGGCCTGAGTAATCAAATTCATTAATAATTCTATTCAGATAAAATGTTATTAGCTTTACCTTTTTATTGAGTATTTCTTATGTATCAGACACTGCTCTAGTGTTTATATGATAAACTTTTTATTGTCCTATCATCCCTTTGAAATACATCTTATTATTACCCTATGTATACATAGGAAACTGAGGCAAAGACAAGTTAAATAATTTCCCAGATTCTCATTGCTAGTAAAAGATAGGCCTGGCTGTCTGTGTGTTTGAGATTCCATCAATGCTTTGGGCAGTAGCTAATGCATAGTAATGTACTGCGTTGTTCAGCGAATGAATCATCAGACCCACCCTCATGACATGCACGTGTCCTTGAACTATGATGGTTCACAAAAATCTGGTCTTTCATTGATGGTTTTTTTTTCTTTGAAAGCCAAAAGCAAAGGCACCTGTAGTAAAAATAAGTAAGTTGGACTGCATTAAACTAAAAAGCTTTTCTGTATAGCAAAGGAAACCATCAATAAAATGAAAAGGCAACCTACTGAATGGAGAAAATATTTGTAAATCTGATAAGGAGTTAACTTCCAAAATACATAAAGTACTCCCACAAGTCAAAGAAAAAATTAATTTTTTAAAAATTAAAACATGGACATAGGACCAAAATAGAAATTTTTCCAAAGAAGACATACAGATAGATGGCTAACAGATCCATGAAAAAGTGCTCACCATCAAAACCACAATAAGTCCCAATCGGCTGGACCCCAGCAGCGTCTGCCCCCTGGTGGTCAGTGCACGTCATTGTGAGTGGTTGAGCTGTCTTAGCATATCATTAGCATATTACACTTTGATTGGTTGAACAGACGACCGGACACTTAGCATATTAGGCTTTATTATATAGGATGGATGGACCTTGAGGGCATTGTGACAAGTGAAATAAGACAGAGACAAATACCATCTGATCTTACTTATGTGTGGAATTTTTAAAATAACAAAGCCCAAACTCATAGATAGGGATTGGTGGTTGCAAAGGCAGGGGTCCTTCAAATTGGTGAAAGTGGTCTAAAGGTACAAACTTCTGGTTATAAAATAAATAAATCATGGAGGTGCAATGTACTGCATCGTGACCATAGTCAGTGCTGTTGTATTGTATATTTGAAAATTGCTAGGAGAGAAGACCTTAAAAGTTTTCATAAGAAAAAAATGGTAACTGGTGATAGCTATTAACTAGACATACTGTGATTATTTCATAATACATTGGATCATTATGTTGTACATCTAAAACTAATGCAATGCTACATGTCAATTATATCTGTTTTTAAAAAGTGGTTCTATTTTGGAGGGGGGAGAATCTGTTTTCCCTTAGGTTTATTATACTGTAGATAGGATATATGCCAGAATGCCCAAAAGCATGAATTGCGCCTTAGTTTTCCCATTTGTAAGATGTCAATAATAGTATCTATATCAAATAAGGCTGTTGTAACTACAGAATGAGTTTGTAGATAGTTCAGAACAGTGTCCAGCCCATAGTGAGAACTACAGATACGTTTATCTTCATACAAACAACAGAAGTCTTACTTTTGCCTTACTCAAAGACCTTTGTAATAAACACTAGAGAAGTCTTCTCTAGTACACAGTTGGTCTGTGTCACCACTATTAAAGGCTTTTATGAACAAATGCTGGCTTAAAACTTAAATGTTTATATTTTGACTTAAGTTATTACTGAGTCCAAATAAATGTGCTATCACTTTTTCCCTCCACTCCAATGGTGATGCAGTGAAACTCGAGATGTCCTGAGATATGTAATGCCGTTTACCAGACACCCAGGGCCTCAGGAGTGAGGCTTTGACACTGGTTTGCCCATCCTGGGGCTGAGGATATAGTTTGTCTCTCTCCATCCTTGCGGTCCTTCTGCCGTGCAGGTGCCTTGGGGCTGCTGCCTGTATTTGTGCTCATTTCCACCTTGACTGCTATTTGCTGCAGTTTCCTTCTCTTTCCTTGTTATTTCCTTCAGCTGTCCATTTTCTTCTGTAGAGTATGGCATCTTCAATCGTCTTCAGGAAGGAGTAGCCTTGATTTCTTCTGTTGGGCAAACAAAAACTCCATCACTTATTTCACTAATGTCTTTTTCACTTCTGTTCTTTTTGTTGGTTGGTACTTGAGTTTTGTGGTTTCCTTCTTTACTTACGGGTTAGAAGATATAATAAAGTATATTAAGCAACATGTCTAGTCAGGTCTCCCTCAATCCACCTATTTCTGACTTTCCAAGCCACCACTTCCCAAGGCCAGGCCCTGATCTTATTGCAGCCTCCATAATGGGGTCTCCATTCTCACTTATTCCCTCCAGTTCATTTCTACAAAGCTGCTATGCTCATCTTTATGAACCATAAATTCTGTTCAACACTGTAACCTGCTAAAAATTATTTAGGGACTTCTCAATGCCCTAAAAATTAAAAGCTAGAGTCCTTAACATAGCTCTCAAGTGCCTTTATCTTCCATTTCCTCTTGAGTGAAATTGTTGTTTCTTGACTCACTCATGCAAAGGCACCCACTCTTGCTCCAGCCACAGGGCTCTCAGTTTCACAGTGGGCCGTCTTCTCCCAGGCCCTGAATTTTCAAGCATGTTGTTTCTTTTGCATAGACCATTCCCTTCGGTAAACTTCCCTCCTTCCCCAAACATTTTTCACACTCTGGACTAGATGACACTTCTATTGAGAAGCCTCCTCTTTCCATAAGTTGCTTTTACCTGTGGGATCCAATAGAATTTACCACATTTTGTGAGTGTCTGATCTCACCCAGATAAGAAAACCTATTTAATATTTTCTATACCCACCAGGCACAATTTCTGACACACGGTAGGCAATCAGTAAATATTTAACTTTTGAGGTTAGGACATTTGAGTGCGTAGATGACTGTGGTTGTGGTGTATAGATATTTTGTTACTGTCTTATAATAAAGACATTACTCTTAAAGTATGAAAAAGCCTTATTCAATTTATTTCATGCTTACAAATGATGTTAGTGTATTTGTGTTATGGAGAAAATTGATTACTAGAGTTACTTAAAATATTTAAGTATAATTATTTCCTTTATTTAGTTACAGCCAAGTTCTACTTCTGAATCTGTGGATCAACTGCTAAACAAAAATAGAGAGGGAGAAAAATCAAGAGATTTGATCAAAGACAAAATTGAACCAAATGCTAAGGATTCTTTCATTGAAAATAACAGCAGCAACTGCACCAGTGGCAGCAGCAAGCCGAGCAGCCCCAGCATTTCCCCCTCGGTCCTCAGTCACACGGAGCACAGGAGGGGTCCCGAGGTCACCTCCCAAGGAGTCCAGACGTCCAGCCCAGGATGTAAACAAGAGAAAGATGATAAAGAGGAGAAAAAAGACGCAGCTGAGTAAGTAAACGTGGCATTAGCATGTCCTGTTACTTAACTTTTTCTTAAGGTGTTCAGAGCTTTCCAACTCAAGAATTTATCTGGACTTTTAGACTGTTTTATACGTAGCTCTCAGATTACAAACAACTTGTCCAAGCAAATGACATCTTACGTAAGTAAATTAGGTCATTGTATCCTGGACTCTTCTTCCCCATTTTTGCATCTCTTGGCAAAACAAAACAAAAAACGCTAGGCATAAATTAAGAACGCCTTTTCTGTAAATGTACAGGGAGTTGAAAACTCCTGGCTTTTGGACCTTTATCCCCTTGATGCTAGTTCATAGCCACCTCCTGGTTGTGTTGCCAGGAGTAAGAACTGCCTTTGCCTGCGGGAGAGAGAAGTGTCTGGTGCCCCTACTCAGTTCACATTGTCCATCAGAAACAGTGTTTTAGTTAATGGTTAGATTTGTTAAGGTTGACTTAATTTTGCACATCTAATATTTGTACTATCAATTAAATGGACTTCTATAGGCTAGCCTCAGAACCTAACTTAAGCACCATTGATTTATTTGTTCTGGGCTCCATATAACCCAGTTACAGCTGAACTTTTGGAATGCAGCTTGTTGATAAATTGGAGAGTGCTTATTCTTGATTTGAGGCAGAAAATTTTTTATACTTTTCCTCAAGGTTTGTCATGTGGGAAACACTTTGTCACATAAAAAAATAGTGCATGCTAGGGAATTGATATGTTAAGGATTGAATTTCAGGATATTTTATAAGGGCTACTGCTGTCTTCAGTTAAAGTATTTATTGATTGCTTTTGAGAGAGACATTATATATTATACTTTTTTTTTTAAAATATATCTTATTGATTTTTTTACAGAGAGGAAGGGAGAGGGATAGAGAGTTAGAAACATCGATGAGAGAGAAACATCGACCAGCTGCCTCTTGCACACCCCCTACTGGGGATGTGCCTGCAACCAAGGTACATGCCCTTGACCGGAATCGAACCCGGGACTCTTCAGTCCCCAGGCCGACGCTCTATCCAGTGAGCCAAACCGGCCAGGGCTATTATACTTTTTTAAAAACTTGTCCTTTTTTGGGCAGTCTCTACCAGATTAAGGAGTGGTAAATGTGTGTGTGTTTCATTTTTTAATATTTTAATTTTATTTTAACCCTCACCAGAGGATATGTTTCTACTGATTTTTAGAGAGAGAGAGACAGAAACATCAATGTGAGAAACATCAATTGGTTGCCTCCTGTACACATCCCAGCTGGGGATCAAACCTAGGTATGTGCCCTGACCAGGAACTGTACCCACAGCCTTATTTCAGAGGAAGAGAGAGAGAGAAACAGGAAAGATGAGAGAGAATCATTGATTGGCTGCCTCCTGCATGCCCCACACTGGGGGTTGAGTCTGCAACCCAGGCCTGTGCCTTGACCGGGAATCGACCTCCTGGTTCAGAGGTCCACACTCAACCACTGAGACATGCTGGCCAGGCATTGTGTGTGTGTATGTGTGTTTTAATGAAGTGGATTGATGATCTTCTAGTGAGAATTGTTTAAATGTAATATGTGTTTAGCAATTTTTAAAAAACTGTCAGGTATAAGAGACTTTAGAGACACAAGTTCCATGCAGATTTCACTGGAGACACAAGTTCCATGCAGATTTCACTGGCATTTACATATTTGTTCTGGTTTAGGCAAGTGAGGAAATCAACATCAGGTAAATTTATTTCCTCTTTGAAGTCATTTATCCCTTAAAAAAATAAATTTTTTCTTATTAGTAATATTTATTTTTTCATACCTGCCATCTAAGTTCAGTTACAGTATGCTAAAACAACTTTGGTTTATGTTCCCTTTTCTTATGGTCATTATGTATATGTTTGAGCCAGAGGAAAAAGATCCTTGTTTTGTCATTAGTTAGACACTGTCTGGGCTTTTTGACTCAGAATTTGAAGATGGTTGGCTAGCTACACCGTTGTGATCATTCTGCTGACTTTATAAGAAAATAGATTTATTTTTTAAATGTTGTAAAACTTCAGTTTCTTTTAAAAGTCACTGCCACTGTTTTTTAATAGTATTATTGAATAATTGGTGAAGTTTTACTTTAACTTATCAAGGTATTTTTCTTTTATTTGAAGTGTGTGAAGTTTATTTTCTATAAGTTTTTTCGTTAAAAGGGACTAATTAAAAATGAGTAAAACTTAGAAAGATGGAGAAAATCAGTCTTCGGGTTGCAATAATAATGAGCTTTTCATCTTAAGAGAGTCGATTTTTGTTTTTTTGCAGCCAAAGCCTTCTACCACCCCAACTTCGCCTCGTCCTCAAGCACAACCTAGCCCGTCCATGGTGGGTCATCAGCAGCCAACTCCAGTTTATACTCAGCCTGTTTGTTTTGCACCAAATATGATGTATCCAGTCCCAGTGAGCCCAGGCGTGCAAGTAAGTCATAGAACTTGATGTTCACTTACTCTCCTTGGTTATTTGTAGTTGACAGCTGGTGACGTGAAGCAGCGGTGGCATAACAGAAGTATTTGAAAAGGGGAGACGCGCAGTGGTGTCGTGTGTTGTTAGTGTGAGGAGCTAAGTCTGAGAATGTTCCTGGTGAGGAAGATGATTTAGATTTACTGTAGTTTGGGGTTTGTGGGTGTAATTTTTTTTTTTAATGACTCAGAATTAGGAAACCTCAGACCTAGCTCTCTAGCAATATACAGTTGAGAGAATGGTAAAATGTGTTATTATCTTGAGAGCCTAATTTTCCTTTTTTTTAATCCCTCAGCCTTTATATCCTATACCTATGACGCCCATGCCAGTCAATCAAGCCAAGACATATAGAGCAGGTAAAGGTGAGAATAATCCTGCCTGTGTTTGCTTGTAGTCTGCATGATGCATGTATTAAGTAACTCAGTTTATAATGAAGAAATACTTGTGGTTCAGCTTTGACTTTTGATGATCAGCATTGCATAAGGTATTCAGATGCGTTATTTACTAACAAAATGGGAGGAGAAATATTTATCAGTTGTGATTATTCAGGTTCTTCAAAAAAAATAACTGACTTGTGCAGTTTTCAATGTTAAATTTAAAAAGAGTGTTTGCTAAATTAATTTACCAAGGTTCCTGACATTTTTATTTTATACTAACATATAATTTCCCCCCAGAATCCAGAATTTCTTTTAAAGCACTGGGCAGCTCATTTTAGAAACCATCAAAATCCCACTAGAAGGGTGTTTCCTCATTTTTAAAATGAGTGTTTTGCTTCATAGACAGAGGCAAAGGGGATGGTGGGTGGAGGTAGAAGAGGGTAAAGGGGGGATAAATGGAGATGGATGGAGACTTGACTTGGGGTGGTGAACACACAATACAATATGCAGATGATGTGTTATAGAACTGTACCCCCCAAATCTATATAATTTTATTAGCCAATGTCACCCCAATAAATTCAATATGAAATTTAAAATGTTATATAATCTAGTATTATATGCTTGTGTGATTAAACAGCCTTCATAGAAGAAAACATTTATCTATTAACGCTGAAAAATGCCTGGAGGGCCTCCTTTTTTGAGGAGGTAATTGAGGATAATTAATAGCTATAATTTTACTGAGAAACAATAGAAAATTTAGTGATTTGTATAAAAGAAACATATCTCAATGCCTTCTCCCACCATGTTTTAACTCTCATGACATAAAAATTTCATGTCTTACATTAATAAGCTTTCCTCAGTATTTGAAGTAATTGTACTTTTGTGGATGCTGATAATTTAAACTTTTAATGGTTTTTGTTTGTTTTTACACATATGATAACCTTTATCTTTGCTTCAAAACACTGGATCCTATTGAAGTTTTACCTAGTTATAGGATTAAACTTATGCTGAGGGCCTGAAAATTTTAGGGAAGAAAAGTGTTTTTTAGTGCCATTTTGAATGAGGTTAATTGTAAGATGTTCATATATTGCCACCTGGTGTTGCTATTTTAATGATTACTTAAAGCAATGAAATGGGAATGTTTTTATGTTAAAACATAAAGGATTATTGGAGTGGAAGCCCAGCACTGCAGTGCAGCGCTTAACATCATTTTTTAAAAATTAGGGGTGTGGATCTCAAATTTTCTTGTGCATCAGAATCACTGGAGTATTAGTTTAAAACACAAATTACTTGGCCCTTTCCCCAGAGTTTCCAGTTTAGTCTGTTTGGGGCATAGCCTGAGAATTTGCATTTCTCGTGCAATTTATAAAACCATTTTTCAGGTGAGGCTGCTGATCTGGGACTGCTATACTCTGAAAACCACTATAATTAGGAGTTTGAAAATGGTGTATTCTTACATTTCTTCTCCATTTATTAGCTAGAATCATTTTGTGAGGGACTCTTCTTTTCAACAAAGGCTATTTGATTATCCTGAAGAGTTTGTACAGAAAAGTTAGGGTAAATGCTTACAATTAAGTGCTGAAAATGGGCCTAAGTGCCAGTTTTCAGTGGTGAGTTGGTGCCCTTGTTACTTTCAATAGTGTCCAGTGAAAATGTTTTTGGGGTGGGTTGGTTTGTTTGCTTAAGGATGGATGGAGCTCTCATCCCCCAACCCTGTTTTATTCTTATTTTTGAAAAATTATGAATGCTGCATAGGTTTTCATATACTTTTGTGTATTCATTGTGTTTGAGTCAGTTGATTATCCTTCTTACTGCTCCCATTGGTTGTCCTTTGACAAATGGCAATCCCTTCACATTGGCTCCCAGGTCCTTTTAGTGCTCATCTTTTTCTTTTTCTTTTTTTAAAATATATATATTTTTAATTTCAGAGAAAGGGAGAGGGACATAGAAACATCAATGATGAGAGAGACTCATTGATCAGCTGTCTCCTGCACACCCCCACGGGGGATCAAGCCAGCAGCCCAGGCATGTGCCCCTGACCGGAATTGAACCCAGGACCCTTCAGTCCGCAGGCCAATGCTCTATCCACTGAGCCAAACCAGCTAGGGCTAGTGCTCATCTTCTTCTTCTTCTTTTTTTTTAAAAATATATTTTATTGATTTTTTACAGAGAGGAAGGGAGAGAGATAGAGTCAGAAACATCAGTGAGAGAGAAACATTGATCAGCTGCCTCCTGCACACCCCCCCACTGGGTATGTGCTCGCAACCAAGGTACATGCCCTTGACCAGAATTGAACTTGGGACCTTTCAGTCCACAGGCCGACACTCTATCCCAGCCTTGGGCAAACTACGGTCCGCGGGCCGGATCCGGCCCGTTTGAAATGAATAAAACTAAAAAAAAAAAAAAAAAAGACCGTACCCTTTTATGTAATGATGTTTACTTTGAATTTATATTAGTTCACACAAACACTCCATCCATGCTTTTGTTCCGGCCCTCCGGTCCAGTTTAAGAACCCATTGTGGCCCTCGAGTCAAAAAGTTTGCCCACCCCTGCTCTATCCACTGAGCCAAACCGGTTAGGGCAAGTGCTCATCTTCTTTACAAATAGTGCTTATCTTCTTTACAAATAAAGTATCTGAGGTTAATCTTCAAATCTTAAACCCAAATCAGTATTCCTCCAAGGAACCCTGATTCATTTTGCTGGGAAATAGTATGTAGAAACCATTTTCTGGTCATTGGATATGCTTATTGCTATTGAATTATTGCTTCTGAGCCTTTTCAGTGGACAGACCTGGGGACTACCACTTTTTTTTTCTTTTAAAAAATTCAGAAACCCATATTGATATATCTAATTCAAGTTAACTTTGCAAGGTTTTTACTCTCTGCTTGCATCTTATTCTCTTACACCAAAAACTGGTAAAAATAATAACTCCATTATCTACCTTTCAACAAATTACTGCAAAGCTTAGCTGTCTAAAACAACAAACATATTATTTCATACAGTTTCTGAGGGTCAGTAATTTAGGAGTGGCATAGCCAGGTGGTTCTGCCTCTCAGTGTCTTGGGAAGCTTCAGACAAGATGTCTGAATGTTTAATTTTTAATTTTAAAAAGGATGGTAAACTTGACTAGCTTTTTAAATTTGTTTTAAAATATGAGGGTCATAATATGTATCAAAAGTAATAGTGATAAGTAAGCTTAATTAGACAAACTTTCACTTGATAAAAATGATACTCGATTTTTGGGTGGCTTTTCTATTCTAAAAGATGCTTTTTTGAGCACTGGTGGGTGGCTCAGTTGGTTGGAATGTCGTCCAATACACCAAAAGGTTGTGGGTTTGATTCCCAGTCAGGGCACGTACCTAGGTTGTGGGTTCAGTCTCTGATTGGGGCAAACACAGGAGGCAGCCTGTTGATGTTTCTCCCTTACACACTCTCTCTCTCTCTCTCTCTCTCTCTCAAATCACTAAACATATCCTGGTGAGGATTTTTTTTAGAAAGATGCTTTTTTGATATGGGAAATCTGAGAATTAAATTCAGAAAAATATTACTGTATTGGTTTTCAAGTTTGCTTTTCTAAGTAGATAAAATGTATATAACTGGTTCTCCTAAATTTCAGCAACAATCATATTTTTAGCAAAAAAAATTCAAATATTTAAAATAAAAACCAAATTTTATCTCTAAACTAGCAGCTACTTACATTAATAGTTCTGATGACTTTATGAACATACTAAGTTATACTTTTTGTACCTCATACCTATTGTAAGCAGTGGTTCATGATTCCTTCCCTCGAATGGCTTGTTTAACATCATAGCATAAACCCATCACAGAAAACAGTCAGTGCTGCAGTGAACGAGAGGGAGAGGTACAGAGCTTGCAGCTGATTCCTTTAGCGGGCGCTGGGAAGGACATTATAGAGAAAATGGCATTTGAGCAGAATTCTTTTTTAAAAATATATTTCATTGATTTTTTTACAGAGAGGAAGGGAGAGGGATAGAGAGTTAGAAACATCGATGAGAAACATCGATCAGCTGCCTCCTGCACACTCCCTACTGGGGATGTGCCCGCAACCAAGGTACATGCCCTTGACCAGAATCAAACCTGGGACCCTTGAGTCCGCAGGCTGACGCTCTATCCACTGAGCCAAACCGGTTAGAGCTTGAGCAGAATTCTTAACTGAAGGGCCATAGGCAGATATCTGTGTGGAATAATAAAAGACATAAATTAATTTTTAAAAAGAGCTATTATTTGGAAACTTGCTACAAGATAGTGTGTGATTCTGTGTTTGGGAAAGATTAGGAAATTGTGGGAGAATTCAGTGGTGGGAAATGAAGAAAGATGGAGTTAAGATTAGTGTTGGGTGTATTTTGGTTTTTTGGTGTATGCCTGTTTTTCTTTGAATAAATCCATTGCCCTTCTCTAGCAAGTGGCATAATTTGATGTTATAAAACGGGTTATTTGAGAAGTAGTATGAAGGAAACACTTCATAGTGTGATCAAGTTTGGAGACTCATCATAGAAGGTCTCTCTCAGGAAGTTGCTTTCAAGCTGACACCTGAAAGACGAGTCAAAATGACCAAAGCTGGGAATTGGGGGGTTGGTGTTTGAGGTTGAGGAATAGCACGTATGATGGCCAGACAACCCAGAGTAGCTTTCGTGGGTGTGGGGTGATACAACCGGCATTGGAGAGGCAAGCCGGATGGTCGTTCCTGCAGAGCCTTGTGGACCATGTGCATGTGTTTGTGCCACGCGATGCTGTTTTCTTACACTGGTATCTTCTGCAGTACCAAACATGCCCCAGCAACGGCAAGACCAGCATCATCAGAGCACCATGATGCATCCCGCCTCAGCGGCAGGCCCACCAATTGTGGCCACCCCACCAGCTTATTCCACACAATACGTTGCCTATAGTCCTCAGCAGTTTCCAAATCAGCCTCTTGTTCAGCACGTGCCCCATTATCAGTCTCAGGTAAGGCTGATGGGACTCATAATTTTTGTTCATTTAAATAACTTCTAATTTCAACTTTTAATATGGTAGAGGGGTTTGGGTTTCCCTTTATATCTGATGCTTTTTGTTATGCTGTGGTTGATAGTTAAGGATGGGGGTGCTTTTTAATGTATATTAGAAGGTGGTTGGTCATTTTAAATATTTCAAAAGAAATAGCCAAGAAAAGTTTTAGATTTTTCAGAGTTGTTTTCAGAAACCTGGACACCGTGGGGTTAAGACATGTAACTAAAATCTGCTTGAGCGAGTCTGTTTGGTATTTGAATGTGTGCTCTTTATTTTGTCTTTGAACGCAGCATCCTCATGTCTACAGTCCTGTAATACAGGGCAGTGCCAGGATGATGGCCCCAGCGGCCCATGCCCAGCCGGGCCTCGTGTCTTCCTCAGCTGCTCAGTACGGGGCTCACGAGCAGACACATGCGATGTATGGTAGGAAGCACTTTGTCTTTTTCAATGTGTGACTATTCTTAATGTGTTTTAAAGCTTTGAAAAGTTACTCTGTTTAAGAATAACTTGGCCTTTTAATGACATTGAGGGTAAAGAATCTAAAGAAAAGATGGACCCATTTTTATCTCTTACCAGCTTTAAGCCTTGGCCAATTGTTTCTACTTCTGTTCCTGAAATTCCTCTGTTTAAATGTCTCTCCTTTAACTAAATGTAATGATGTGTGTAACAGAAGCATCTTTTGTGGAGAGAGGTATCTTTCTTCTCTTCCTCATCAGTATTATCATTTGATGTGCCCTGCGCAAGGCATGCGAGGAAGTTCTACCAAAGTGGAAGCCGTGGCCAGCACTTCACCTCTTCCTTGGGGGTCACTGGCTTTACATATTTCTATTGCTTTTTGTTATAACGCTACTAGAGGCCCGGTACACAAAATTTGTGTACTGGTGGGGGGGGGGTCCCTCAGCCCCACCTGACCTGTGCCCTCTCGCAGTCCGGGAGCCCTTGGGGGATGTCTGACTGATGGCTCAGGCCCACTCCCCATGGGGAGCAACAGTCGGACATCCTTAGCGCTGTCACGGAGGCAGGATAGGCTCCTGCCACCGCCGCTGTGCTCACCAGCCGTGAACCCAGCTTCTGGCTGAGTGGCACTTCCCCTGGGGGAGTGCACTGACCACCAGGGGACAGCTCCTGTATTGAGTGTCTGCCCCTTGGTGGTCAGTGCATGTCATAGCGACCAGTCCTTTGGCCGTTTGGTCGATTTGCATATTAGTCTTTTATTATATAGGATTGTGTTTCTGCATCATGCTGTATTTTAAGTGGTCGAAATTGTATAGTATTAGGTCTGCTTTAGACATTTACACTTCAAGTGTAATCAATTTAAAAAATGGTAAAATGAAAATATTCTATAAAAATTAAATATATATAAGAATAATTAATAATAAGCAAAAATTACTGTCTTAGTTTTATTGCCAGAGAACTTTGTACAGGTTAATTTAGCAGCTATCTAAAGTTCTAAAATAATACGGTTTTCAGTGTTGAGATTTAAAACAGATTTCCACTTATATCTTTTTTTTTTTAATATATTTTATTGATTTTTACAGAGAGGAAGGGAGAGGGATAGAGAGCTAAGAACATCGATGAGAGAGAAACATCGATCAGCTGCCTCCTGCACACTCCCCACTGGGGAGTGCCCGCAATCAAGATACATGCCCTTGACTGGAATCGAACCTGGGACCCTTGAGTCCGCAGGCTGACGCTCTAGCCACTGAGCCAAACTGGCTAGGGCTCCACTTATATCTTGTGTAATATAAAATTAATGGGTGTTCCTATATTTATGTTTTTAAAATGCATCTTAAGTACCAGCCTTATTAAGAAGTAGGTTTTGTTTTTTGCACTTTTCTGAGGTTTTGGCATTTCCGTTTTTTGGAGTGTGAGGAGAGAGATGTAAGTTTCTGCATACAATTGAAAAGAATTCCACTGAGAATGAAATTACAATTACATGTAACTACATGGACATTTCATTTTTTAAACCTCTTTCAACTCTTTGAATGACTAGGAATGTAAAGATTTTCATGTTTCTAACTTTAGGTAACAGTTTATAACATTTAGAGGTTAATAGGCATCCTTCTTGTCACCCGGAACTCAGCACCGTGCCTCTGTCCTGGAGGGGCTCCTGTCGCACAGTTCAGACTCCACATGGTTAAAGGCACTGTTGTTACCAATGAGAAGTCGATTTTACTTTTCTACATTATCATTTAGAGCTTTAAGTAAAAGCGATGTAATTGCTACATTTCCTTCAAGAAGCCCACCCATAATTTAATTGAGAAATAAACTGACAGGCTGATTTCACTTATGATTTTGGTTATGATCTCCTGTCATTGGCTTGTCTTCAGTTGTCTTAACCAGGACTAAGTATGTATGGAAAGGCCCCATTGATTCCTACACTGGCTTTTATGCAATTTGTATATATTTCAACTCTTCTCCACTTTGTTAAAGGCATAGGTGAAAAGTTTGTTATGATTATTTTATGTTTCTGCTGAATACATTAGGATTTAACAAGTGGAAAAAACATTTCTTTCCTTCCATTTTCTTGCATCCTCCTCTTGGAATAAGATCTAAAACTTTTGAGCTAAAATTTCCATTGCTTTTAGGTAATAGCTATTTGTGCACCCATGATTTTGAGACTTTGTAGCAATACTGTGATGTTGTGCAGGATCTTTCTCCTCAATGCCAACATCTGGCTTTGACTTTTGGATGGATATTCATTGGTTTGAAACAACTTCATTGGTTTAAAACAGCCTGTACAATAAATACTGTTATTTGAGGCACTAGTGGTTTTTATGCTTCCCCAGAACATTTTCATTTGAAAAGCACTTGACCTTGGACCCTGAAGTCCATTCAAGTTTGGGTAAATAGGAAGTATTGCAAACAAAACAAATCACTAGACTTAATGTACTAGTCATCAGAGCCAGTTCTTTAGTGCCAGGAGAAAGTTGCTCAACCAGATCTGAACTGCTCTCCTGCATTTTACCCAGGTTGTATTACATTGATGTCTGTTGATGAGGGCTGGCTAGGGGGAAGGCTGTGAACTTGGTATGATTGTTACTGGTTAATTGAGGTTTTCTTAGATACTTCATACCTTAAAAAAGAACACTAGGGAATTATTTTGTTCTTTGCTGTCATAAACCATAATTTTAATCTGCTAAAACAAGTTTATTATTAATTCTTCAGTCATTTAGATATTCTAAATCCTAATTATGCCAAATACAGACAAATTTAAGTGTTATTTTAAACTAAGACAAAACTCTTACATAGAAATATAATTGTGTACTCATATCCTTCGAGTATAATATTTATATATTGTATTCCCAAAGGAACCAAATATTTTGAGTATGTATTAAGTTTGTTTTTAAGCGACATCCTACCTAGATTTTTAAAAGTTTTTATGTAAACAAAAGAATATGTACCCAGATGTTAGTGACAATTATGTCACCTTTTGATCATTCATTAATTGGTCATAGGCAAAGGCTTAGAGAATAGAATGAGAGACTGATTATTGTTTTTAAATTTTTGGTATATTTAATATAAATATGCTAACAAATTACTGAATAGTTAATTATTAGGATATATGTATATGTATATGTATATATTCTAAGTAATTGTTGACCTTGTTCTCTTTGTAGCTATCTTAAAAAGGACTCTGATCACAAACTTCATCTCTTTGATCTTAAACTAACTTTTATCCTTGCCTCTGCCCCCTCCCTCCTAAGAAGTTACTTTTTGTTTCCTTAACATCTAGTTTTCTAATTCATCTCCTTTGTTTTATGGCATTGTTTTATTTACCTTTCAGAAATAGTTCTGAGACTTTCTCTACAGGAAGAGTTAGATCCAGAATCCTTTTTTGGTTTGTTTTTGGTAATTTAATGCAGATATATTGGAAAATATAGTAGGCAAAAAGATTTAAAATGCATCTATTGTCCCTCCACCTGACAACACCTGTTAACATTTTGGTGCATATCCTTTCAGCCGTACTTAAACACACACACGCACACACACCTTTATGTAGTCATTGTAATAAGAAATGATATACTCATGTTTAATATTACTATTATGTTTCTAAAATTTGGATCCAGTTTCAGATGCCTAAAAACATCTTACTTCTGTTAATAATGACTTACAGAATTGTTTATCTTTTGAATTAAACTTGTGTAATTTTTATTTTGGTACATTTTTGATATCAAGGTTATTCAGTGGAATGCCATGTTGGTCTGTTTATTAGATAATAATATTATTCCTTTTATTTAAGCAAGTCAGCCTGCAGAATTTGACATCCCAGTACAGAAGAAAAGTGTCTTTTTGTTCAGCCTTCTCTTATTTAATTTTGTAGCAATGTTTAAAGTGCTTGCCATCTCTTGTAAAATAAGAATGAATTATGCATGAATAAAATAAGAAATTACTAAATATGTCAACCTTTCCAGAAAATTAGGAAAATGTAGACCTCAAAAGCCTAATTTACCTTTCTATTTCCCAAATTCAGCATGTCCCAAATTACCATACAACAAGGAGACAAGCCCTTCTTTCTACTTTGCCAGTGAGTTGGGTTTTTTATACTAATTTTAATTAAACAGTAAAACACTTTTTAAAGAATACACGTTAAGGGAGTAGACTTGTTGAACAATATTTTCCTTGTGCCAGACAAAATTATTAAAGATATGTGTACCTGTAAATAATTCAGAGTTTTAAAAAAGAAATACAACCCAGCTCAAGAAAGCTGGGTTAAAAAATTCAGTTGTTTCAGAAATTAATTTTTGCATACCAAGCAAACATGTGACTGTTTTGGAAATGCCTAATATTTTCCTTGTGTGAAAAACTTTTCCTGAATCACTTTTTTTTTAACCAAGCCACAAACTTAGTATTAATAACAAGAACAACCACAACTTTAAAACGTTAGTTTTTCTAATATTCTGGTAAGAAACTTATTCTTACAAGGATTTTGAATTGAATAGGATCGAAAAACTAGGGGGAAACATTTCTGTCTTTTTAATCTTTGCATGACTGAAGGTTTAAAGTATTTGTGGCAGACACCTTGGGATGTCTTGAGCTTAAGCAGGAAAGCATGACCTAGCAGAGATTATCTTTGGCAACACTAGCCCCCCTCACCTCCAGTGAAAAGGTAAATGATTGCTCCTAAAGGGAGAAAGTCTGGACAGAGCTTTCTTTTGGAAATGAACTTGGAAGGTGTGTTTTCTCTATTTGTAGGGCAATTTTTCAATAAAGCTAGTCATGGACTTTTGGTTTTGAATAGAATGGTACTAACTTGCAGAAATCCTTTAAGATTTTATGCCAGTAATGTGTCACTTTATGTGAAATATATATTCTAGGAAACATTAAAATTTTACTTTAGGGACTAAATTTTGAATTATTTTAGAATGACTCAATGTCTGAATCTACTAAGTGCCAGATTTTAAAAAGCATTTAGAAAACATTTGACTTAACATTTTCATTAATTGTGCCATGACTTGGTATCCAAAAATAAGTGTATAAGTATTATTTATGTGGTGCTAGGAAATGTTAACAAATTTAATCCTTTAATAGATGCTCTTTAAAAAGGAGTCTTGCTGTATATATACTATTAAAGGGAAACTGTATGTAATATAGTTATGTAAAAGACAGTGTCAGTAATTTTATTATGTACTCAGTTTGAGGTCTCAAATGTAGTTATCCTCACCATCTTACTGTCTCTGTTAGTTTTGGAGTCCGTTTCCTGGTAAGTGGCTAAAAGGTCCTTAATCATCACACCTAAGCATTAACTGCCTCAGCACAGCTTCTCTTAAAAAGGAGTGTCAGTCTTTTTAAAAGAAACTAACGGTGAGGCTATTTGTAATTTAATTTGCTGCCATTTTGTCATGGTTTTGGTCTAGTTGACTTTTACTCCCCTTTTAAAGAGTTTCCAACTTTCCTTCACTTCCTTTTTTTCTAAATTTAACATCAAATTTAAAAGTTGGAAGATTTTGTTTTGCTTTGTTTAGTTTTTAAAGTTTTGCAGTGCTGGTGATCTCTCATGACTTGTGCATCCAAGGTCAAAATGAAAACACCTACTTGCAAATTACACACACAGGACTGAATTGGCTTCAGTAAGATCATGGCTTAGGAAACTATTTTTGGAATGTGGTTAGTGCTGGGAGGATTTGAAAAATCATGTCTTTATAGTTTTGAACATTTGTATCAAGGAACACAGCAAGTAGTAAACTTCTGGACCAGGTCTGGCCAAAAAACGGGATACTTCTTTGGTTTGCTTGACCTAATTCAGGTTTCATGAAGGCAACTTAAGTTTTATAAATAGAAGTGTTTAACTGATGAATAACTAAATCAAGCTGTTGAAGAAAATTCACTTTATTGTTAACCTGTCTGAAATCTTTAGCTAAATTAATGAGCATGTATAATTAAAGCAGTTAAATGATACACTTAGTAACCCTCAGAACTTACTGCCCTTTGTTCTCCACTTCTTTTTCTCAGATTCTGTTATATTTTTTTTCTCATTTACTCTACATTGGTTCCCTTTCTCTTGTCTCTTTTTTTTTTTTAATACTTTTTAAAAAATATATATTTTATTGATTTTTTACAGAGAGAAAGGGGAAGGGATAGAGAGTGAGAAACATCGATGAGAGAGAAACATCGATCAGCTGCCTCCTGCACACCCCCTGCTGGGGATATGCCCGCAACCAAGGTACATGCCCTTGACCGGAATTGAACCTGGGACCCTTCAGTCCGCAGGCCGACGCTCTATCCACTGAGCCAAACTGGTTAGGGCTCTCTTGTCTCTTTTCTTTCCAATTATTTCCCCCCTCAGCCTTTTTTTTTTTTTTTAATCCTCACCTGAGGATATGTTCATGTATTTTTTAATTGATTTGAGAGAGAGAGAGGGAGAGAGAAACATTGATGTGAGAGAGAAACATCAATTAGTTGCCGCCAGTACATGCCTTGACCAGGGATCAAAACCAAAACAAGGGCATGTGGCCTGATCTGGGATCTAGCCCACAACATTTTGGTGGAAGGGACAATGCTCCAACCAACTGAGCCACCCTCTGAGGCTTTTAATTTTCCTTCTGTCCATCTTTTTTTGGTCTCATTCTTCTGGCCTTTCAAGGAACCAAACTACAGGTTGTCCCCCAAAAATGTACACACACTTTAACAGCTGATAGCTCAATTTTGAAAATGAAATGTATTTTAATAAGGACTGCTTTATAATTATTCAAAGTGTGTATCCATTTTTGGGAGGGACACCCTATATATTTTTGTTATTTGTATTGAATTAATTAGCTAGCCACTCAGTTTTTGTATTTGAGGAAGAAAAGGAGTTCATGGATAAGGTACTTGCTTTATATCTTTTAAGCAAGGAGATGACCAAATGAAAATATTTCTAATTAAACTTTAAATTTTATTTGCAGCTTATGAACTATAGATTACAACTACTTGATTTTTCTTGTATACATTCTAGTTTACCGGTGTTTAGGGTAGGAAAATAAAACATTTTTATTTTTAAAAATGTTTTTATTGATTTCAGAGAGGGAGAGATAAAAACACCAAGGATGAGAGAGAATCAGTGATCGGCTGCCTCCTTCACGCCCCACACAGGATTGAGCCCCTGCCCCAGGCATGTGCCCTGACCGTGAATTCGATCCGTGACTTTCTGGTTCATAGGTTGATGCTCAACCACTGAGCCACACTGGCCAGTCAGGATGGGTTGTTTTTTTTTTTAAAGCAAAAACCTATGTGGGCCGAACCGGTTTGGCTCAGTGGATAGAGCGTCGGCCTGCGGACTCAAGGGTCCCGGGTTCGATTCCGGTCAAGGGCATGTACCCTGGTTGCGGGCACATCCCCAGTGGGGGGCGTGCAGGAGGCAGCTGATCGATCTCTCTCATCAATGTTTCTAACTCTCTATCCCTCTCCCTTCTTCTCTGTAAAAAATCAATAAAATATATTTAAAAAAAAAAAACCTATGTGGGTGTACGCAGATTAGTTGAAGTATAGTACTATGAAGGCAAATGAGATATAGATTTGATTACTTTATAGGCTTTAAATAATTGGTAAACTATCACAGAGATGCCCTTTAAAAATGTATAGTAAAATATATTTTATCTTTAATTTTCTTCAAATAATTTTAAGATTTTTAACATTTTTCTAATTGATGAATAATAATTATCAGACTTTATGGGCACAGTCTCTTTGTAATGGTCATGCTAGAGTTTGTGTTTTTATTGTTACTTTTAATTTTCTTAATACATTGGTTATAAGATAATTAAAAGTAAAATTTAAAACTTTTTAGTACAAAAATTTCTTGAACAAATAAAGTTTATAAAAATAGGAACTCTGAGATTCTGTACTCTGAGATCTCATGAATAGAATTTGGGATTGGGGATTGCTTTTCCCCAGACAGCCTTGGTATTGCTGCAAATGAAACATTTGAGAAGCTTGGAGGCAGGGAGTGTGAGTGGCTAGACGTCGCTGTCCAATAGGACGTCCTGTGGTGATGGTGTAGTGCTGTCTCACCAGCCGCTTGCTGCATGTGGCTGTTTTAGTCATTTAAAAATAAATTTGAGAGGCGGTTGGAGGGTATGGAGGAAAAGGGACATCTGTAATACTTTCAACAATAAAATAAAGATAAATTAAAAATAAAATGAATACATTTGAAAAATAAGTAATATTTTTACAAGAACAAAGATTAGAAATTTATGTCAAATCTTTTAGTCCAAGTCCGTGCCTAGATAATTTGAGGGGATCTGAAAGTCAGCTTACTGAGTGTGCTGGTGAAGAATGGCCTGTAATAAGCCCGTCAATGAGGAGAAAGACTACTTTCATAGACTTTCGAAGTAGGAAAGCAGTTAGCACATTATTTTTCCTGGATCCCAGAAAACAGTCACTGACTCTTCTTAAAGAAAACACCCAGAGAAATATGATATTGTATGTCAGCTATACTTAAATTAAAAAAAAAAAAAAAAGTCTGTTAAAAAGAGGAACAAAATATACCCAGAAAATGTTACCACGGTTTTCCTTGTTAATATGTTTCAATGTACGGCAACTCTTACAAGTTAGGGAAATTTCCCAATCTATAAACGAAAGTGTTTTCTGTGTTTTCTTTGTTTCATCTTCTCTGGCACACCCCCCGCCCCCCGTGGTGTTGGCAGTTGGATGCACAGGTGGTCCTAGCACTGGCTCTTTGCCTTGCCCTTGCCTCTTTTCAAAGATACATATACAGTTGGAGAGAGGACCAGTTGGGCTGGAATGTTGGTGGCCCTTGGCCCTACAAGGTCAAGCATTCCAGAATTGCTTTGTGTGTCTAATCCTCTGCATAACATTGACGTGGGACTCACCCAGAGGTATTTATCCTGGTGACCCTCACAGCCTTGCCCGTTAGAATGCTGGAGTTCGGGTGCCTGATCCTAAAGCAGTGCTTGCTTCAGCCCCCTATCTGTCTGTGTATGTTTGGGCTTGGCTTCTCAGGGATCTTAGGAGGAATTTGCGAGAAGGCTGGGAGCCACAGGTTGCTAGAACGCTGTCCTCTGCTCATTGACACGTCATGATTTGTGTTTGTATCAGTTTGCTGTTGATAGTCACAAAGCAATTAACCCATCTTACTGTGCTTTTGATTCTCAAATTGCTCTTTTAGAAAGAGGTGAATAGATGCATCTATACCTAATCTCCCTGTTTTATACCAAGATATGGTTCATGCTAAGATTCACAAAGAACTGGCTTTGAGTTCTTATCTTTAATGAACATGTTTTTACTTAAGTTGGCTCATCATGTTTCCTCTGAAGTTACTCTGACTAGTAACATTCTTTCTAAAGGCGGAGGTGCTTTGAAGAGACTCCATTTTCTACATAGTTTAGGTAGTTCTCTACTGGATTCTTATCAAGCAAGATGAGAGATTGCTGAACAGGGAGGGCCCAGGTGGCTTCTGTGAACAACTGAGAATTGTGGACATTGGCCCTAAAGATAGAGCCTTGTCCAGCCCCTCATTCCCAGTCTGTGCCCATGGGACACTGCTGCAGCTCCAGGGCAGTAGCATGGTGAGGTTAGCCAGATGATGGCCTTGAGCTAAAGTGCGTGTGCGTGTGTGTGTGTGTGTGTGTGTGTGTGTGTGTGTTGCGGGGGGCGGGGCAGGGAATATTGTTTGAATTATTTCTGCCTTTGTTAAGTTACCTTTGCAGGAAAACCAGTAATTGTTTTAAGAATAAATTTAAACTATATAATGTGTACAGTTGTGTTACCAGAAATAAAATGTTAATCTGATTGTTAAGCAATAACTTCATACTTAATTATTCGTGATAGTTGATGGTTAAATGAAGTCAAATGTAGAGATTGGTAACAACATAAGTTAGGCCTTGAGCATCAAGAAAGCTCATTTGGCGAGGCATAAGGAGCAGTTGTACACACTCCTTTTTTTTTCACTTCAGTTTCCACTGGCTCCCTTGCTCAGCAGTATGCGCACCCTAATGCTACCCTGCACCCACATACTCCACATCCTCAGCCTTCAGCCACCCCCACTGGACAGCAGCAAAGCCAACATGGTGGAAGTCACCCTGCACCCAGCCCCGTCCAGGTGAGGAGAGACCCAGAGGTCTCCATGACGTTGCTTCCCCTTCTGTGCTGAGTGTTTCTTCCGGGCCAGGATCGGGGCCTGGGACTGCGTGATCAGAACACCCAGCAGCCCAGCGCTGCCAGTGTGCACTCTGCAGACCATGCCCCTGGGGCTGGTTTTAAGTCACATTAAGAGAGATAATAAGAATAAACATCAATATTTAAAAATCTAATTTAACATAGAGTAAGGAATTTGCTTGGGACTTTTTTTTAATTCCCACTGTTTATATGATGAGTTTTCTTGTTTCTTTAGTCACATTTGTTAACGGAGGTGGTTGGGTATTTCTGACATCTGTCGGCTCCGTGGGCAGTGGTCTTGCTTCACCTCGGCCACGCTGAGATGGGGCTTATCCCAGAAAGGAGGTCTCTGAATGGGTCCCACCCTCTCTTAGCTCCCTGCTGTTCTGTGCTTGCCATTCCCGCCCCCTAGATGCGCCAGGTGGAGCCCATTTTCATGCACAAGGCTCAGCTTTTGTGCGGCCCTTAACTGATTTTCATGAAAAAGGTGGTTTGCTTAATTAATTCTTTCTGTCACTTTGCAGCACCATCAGCACCAAGCCGCCCAGGCTCTCCACCTGGCGGGTCCGCAGCAGCAGTCAGCCATTTACCACGCGGGGCTCGCACCAACCCCGCCGTCCATGACACCTGCTTCCAACACGCAGTCGCCACAGAACAGTTTCCCAGCAGCACAGCAGACAGTCTTCACAATCCACCCTTCTCATGTCCAGCCGGCGTACACCAACCCGCCCCACATGGCCCACGTACCTCAGGTAAATCAGCTTTAGCCAACTTTCTGTGAAGACCAAGTCGAATAGGAAGGTTATCAGATAAGCAGCCAAGAGCCGGATGCTCTCCAGGCTAGGAAACCCTGTGTGATTTGCCTGTCTCCCTTCTCCCGCTCAAATACACGTGATCTGGCCCTAAATGGATGTTTGTGTGGTTTTGTAATGGGGTCAGTGAAGTTGCTGATTGGTCAGTCCTTTAACGTTTTCCAGCTGAGACCGAGACCATATAAATATCTTTGACTCTGGAATGCAACCCGGTCCTCCTTCCCTTCCTGTGTCTGCTTTCTGTGTTTAAATAGCTTCATTGAGATATATATGTATGTCTCCATACATATACTCTCTCTCTCACACACATACACTGTGTCTCTCTCTCTCTCTCTCTCTCTCTCTCTCTCACACACACACACACACACACACACACACACACACACAATGAGGTGTGTGGCAGGGAGGATGGACCTTCACAAATTCTTAACTCTCTGGCTGCCCTGGGCCTGTCAGCTTGAATGTTGGTCACATGGATCCAGAGAAATCTCCCCCGTTCTCTCTGGCTGTCCATACATTCGTCTTGACCATGAGTTGAACTGCTTGAGCGGCTTGCCCTTGTACATCGGTGCCGTGTAACGAGAGGCTGAGAGCACCCAGGTGCTCGCATTTTTCTTAAAGAGCAGCTCTGGAAGCACTTTGGAGCTCATCTCCAGTGTACACTTTAAAGGTTGGAAGGTGCGGTTGCTGTCTCAGTGGTTGCTGTTTGCATCAGCTGCTGACAAAAGTCCGATGCTATCCAGGGCCAAGTTGGGTTGTCGTAAGGAGGAAGAGGACCTGCACTGAAGTTGGGCTCTAACACTGTCCTTGAGGCCCGCCCTGGAGCTGTGGAAGGCGAATTGGCTGTATTCGATGTCTCTCTTTGCTGCTTTCATAACAGCACTTAGGTGGGTCTGACTAGACTGCCTCACTGAGCTCCAGTTCATGTCCAAGTGCACCACTGAGGCTCTGGTGTGTGGGGCTGGAGAGGACACTCAGTGGCGCTCTCGGGTGGCCTTGTCATAGACCCACAGCTCTGGGAGTTGGCGCAGTGTGGCACTGCCGCGGATGGTTTGCTGTGGATGTGGGGCGGGATTGCTGTGGTCAGTGTGGGCCAGCGTGGTTGGTTGGTTGGCTGGATCAGGAGCTTCATGAGAGCGGGGTCCTGTAGATGTCGAGCAGAGGCTGGTGGCTAAGTAGGTGTGTGAATATAGGTTGGGGTTCCTAAAACCTCACTTGTGTGTTTTTGTGCTGAAAGAGCAAAATGGATTAACACAGGGAAGCCAGATACGCCATGGCCCCTTTTGAAAATGTAAGATAATGAAAACAGCATTTCCTTCAGGCTTATCAGGGTCTGGAATTGTGCACGGTGTCGAAAGGGCTCTTCCTGGCCCTGCCAAAACCTTCCCAACTTGACAGTGAGACCAGGTCGAACTCACTGTCACTCGGTACAGGGACACGGGGCTGGACAGACTGTTACTTCCTCTCCCCATCTCACTGGCGCCATTCCCTGCAACCTCCCCTTCCTCCTACTCCATCAGCGTCTCTTTCAGCAGAGCAGATTCTCTCCTCACTGCCCTGGCTCCTTCCCCACTGAGAGTGCTGGTGAGCAGGCAGGAAGTAGAAGGGCTGGGTGGGGGGCAAACAAGAAGAGTAATCCACGGAACAGAATTTGACAAGTCTCCACTTATAAAGTAATAATCTGCTTTCCTATTTGAAAGGAACAGCCTTTGTAAAACTACTTCAGGTCCCTCATGGAAGCCAGATTCTCAAGCGTGATTGCTTCTCGTCTGTTACGTTGGACAGGTGGCCCTGGGGTCTGAGCTTTGTATAGAATCACGTGATCAGAAATGAAGGCTAGGACACCACAGTCCTGATTCTCCCCGTGCTCAGTGGGTGTCTGTCCCCTCAGCCTTGCAGGATCGCTCTGCTAAAGGGCGAAGCATGTCTGTAGGTCAATTGATGTCCCACTAGGGAGTGTCCCCAGAGAAAAGAAGGGCCCTGAGGGCCCACTGTTGCCCTTTCCTGAGAGCCCCAGCCCCTGAAAGGAACACAGTTAACATGTTGTTTAAGCTGGAGATGTTGCCTGTATGCGTAAAAGAGCTCTCTGTTTCAGGCTCATGTACAGTCAGGAATGGTTCCTTCTCATCCAACTGCCCATGCGCCAATGATGCTAATGACGACACAGCCACCCGGCGGTCCCCAGGCCGCCCTCGCTCAAAGTGCACTACAGCCCATTCCAGTCTCGACAACAGCGCATTTCCCCTATATGACGCACCCTTCAGGTGAGGCGTGTGTGTGCAGGGGCCGCCGGGCACCCCAAGCATTCTGCTCGCACAGTTCGAATGGCAGGCAGAGCCAGCGCTTCAAACCCTGCATTTGAGAACTAGCAAGACCCGTCAGTGTGCACAGTAGGGACTGTGACGATCAGTCAGTGTCAGGGCCTGAGGCTCCGGGCCGAGTCTGTGTGTGTTCTGATGGTCCAGGTTTGGCTTGAGGAGCAGCGGCAGCTGTGGAGCTGATGCTGCCTAGGACTCAGTTGGCCTTCCTTGTTACGACAGGCTGGGCAGGGCAGCGGTTTCCTTCCTGAGTCCCAAGTCTGCGTGGGGGTTACCACCATGATAGTTTGATCGTAGCTCTGGAGAATACTGCTGATGAGCAGTGCTGTGTGTGGATCGGCTCTGAGTGTAGCATTCGCTCCAGCCTGCACCCTGACAGGGAGAGGCCGTGATTGTGCTAACACTTGAGACTGCCATGGCGTTCCTCTGAAAGCAGGACTGGTGCTTGGCTAATATTTGGGGAGGGGGTATGTTACAGCCTGTTTCTCTACCCCATGAGCAACAAGTCTTCTGGGAGTTTTATCTGAAGTGGTTTTACGTCTTACTGGTTTGTTCTACCCCTCTTTCCCCTCCTCCCCCTTTGGTGCAGATGGGAGGGGGAAGTGAACTAAATTTTGAGTCCTGTTCAGCTAGCACAAGGATAGTTTACAGTCATGTGCTGCAGAGACACTAGGCTGATGTGCGGTGTTGCCAGTTTTCTGTTTAAATATTCACTTTTCTTTTTTACAGTACAAGCCCACCACCAACAGCAGTTGTAAGGCTGCCCTGGAGGAACCGAAAGGCCAAATTCCCTCCTCCCTTCTACTGCTTCTACCAACTGGAAGCACAGAAAACTAGAATTTCATTTATTTTGTTTTTTAAAAATATATGTTGATTTCTTGTAACATCCAATAGGAATGCTAACAGTTCACTTGCAGTGGAAGATATTTGGACCGAGTAGAGGCATTTAGGAACTTGTGGGCTGTTCCAATTCCATATGCTGTTTCCGAGTCCCGCAAGTACCCCAGCTCTGCTTGCTCAAACTGGAAGTTATTTATTTTTTAATAACCCTCAAAAGTCATGTATACATCAGCTAGCAAAAGTAACAAGAGTGATTCTTGCTGCTATTACTGCTAAAAAAAAAAAAAATCAAGACTTGGAACACCCTTTTACTAAACTTGACAAAGTTTCAGTAAATTCTTACCGTCAAACTGACGGATTATTATTTATAAATCAAGTTTGATGAAGTGATCACTGTCTACAGTGGTTCAACTTTTAAGTTAAGGGAAAAACTTTTACTTTGTAGATAATATAAAATAAAAACTTAAAAAAAAATTAAAAAATAAAAAAAGTTTTAAAAACTGATATCCAGTTAGTGTGTGTTTGTATAAGCTACTAGTTAATACCAAGGCAGGAAGGCTGTATTTTCTTAATATCCTGGAAGGTTAGTTGTCAAATGATTTTTCTTCTTCACCTTTAGTTCTGGTTCAAGGTATCTCTAGGAAAAGACAAGACTGAGATATTCTCTTTGGTGGATAGAGGTCCGCTTCAGAAGGAGGAAGGCTGGCCAGAGTTGGGCAGCATTGAAACTCCACACCCTCAGCCTGATGCTGATTCTGTAAGCTTCCTTTTCAATCCTCCTGAACCCAAATGAATGTCCTTAGCCAGGGGTCCTGACTCAGACATCTGTCTGTTTTACCAGTAGGGGGCAGGAGATACTTTTTAAAAAGCTGTGAATAAGATACACCTGAAACTGATATATGTCAACTGTAATTGAAAAATAAGAATTCATTTTTTAAAAAAGAAAATTAAAACTGATAATCCAGAGTGCAGAAGAGGTACAGTGATGTACAAAGCAGTTTACGGCTATAGACTCATAAGCACTTGTTAATGTCCTCAATTTATGGGAGGAGAACAAAGGGAAAAGCAAGTGTTTGCGCAGGGCAGCAATTTCAGAGACCATAGTCATAATACACAGAGCTTTTAGATATTGTTGGCAACAAATCAATATTCTGAAAACATTTTTTAATTCACATATAGCAATTTATACATTATAGCAAAATTTGTTATTCAAGAATAAGTTACTTGTACAGTACATAAACAATATATAACAATTTGCCAAATACCTTCTTCTGCCTGTAATGATAAAAGATTGAACCCATTTTCTGTGTTGTTACAATGTGTGGCTTATTCCAGCCCAACACTGGGTGACAGATGTGTCCTTGTTAGAGGCAGTGGAAATATACAAGTTCCTCTAACCTGTGGGAGATGTTAGCGCTCACATGACATTTGCAATAGGAGAGTTAGCCCTGAATAAAAGCATGAAGGAATCTTAGGCAACCCTTAGGGAAGGGAAGAGTTCAAGGCCTTGATTTTATATATAAAAATAGTGTTTTGTGGTCTAAGATTTTAATGATTGCTATTCCTTTTTCCTACACGGTCCAGAAATGATCAGAGGCAGAAGATTTATACCAGATAAAGCCATTGGATTGCTGGTCTAAAATTCAAGGCAGGTTAGTTGACTTAATTCTTTGGTGCTGGTGACTGTTAGTTTGTAAAAGTTCGTTAAAGTCAGATTCAGGAGGTGACGGTGCTGAGAGCAGTCTCCTGGCTGTTGTCTGGTTGGAGAGAACTGCAGTGGTCGCAGTACTTACTGTCCCTTTGGCACTCACAGCCCGGCTTTCTGTGGAGGTGCTGGCTTGGCCTCTTGAGGCCAGCGGTGGTCACATCAGGACTGGAAGGAGGGTGGCATGTGGGCTAGCTACGGCCAGCAGGGTCACTGTGAGGGCATCAGCCCAGGGACCCACTGCTCCCTCTTCTCCAGCTCTACCTGCTCTAGCAGAAAGGAGAGGCCTGGCTTAGGGTCACTCCTTCCCAACTGTGGCGGGGCTTTCTGTTGGGATGTATTTGAGGTGTCCTGGTAACTCAGACACATTTGGAAAGGAAATATTTTCCTTGAACATTTAGACTGGAGCAGCCTGGAGCGGTGACTTCCAGCTCTCTGTTAGAATCTGAGCTGGTACTTGGCAGCCAGTGGGTCAGAGCTGAGCCACTAGTTTGCTGCCTCTTGGTACTACCTGAGACGTCTGTGCTGAGACTGCTTAGAAGTGGGTGCCCCTGGCTTGAAGATGTCATAGCCCAGATGTGGAGGGAGGGGGTAGGTGTGTTTCATTGTATAATTTGCCCTTTTTCTGCACCAGTGACTTGTCAGCATGGACTTTCTGTGATGAGCTTTATCTTTTAAGAGACATTCAAAATAGTGTGTGCTCCTCTGGTTCCCGCTTTGCTTAGCGAAACCTGCTTGGTATGTAGAAAAAAAGTGTCCTTAGAAATGGACCGAAAATTTGGATCGGGGTTGGATCTGCTTTACAACCTGTGGAAACACCCAGGAGTGTTGGTTTTTAAAAGTAAAAGTGAAGAGGTGGTTAGTTGATGCCCCGCACGCCTGCCCCCCCCCCCCAAAAAAAAAACACCACAAAATTCTATAAGCACTATAAGCAAAAGTCTCACCTCTTAGAATACTGAGAGTGGCTGGAGGGAGCAGACAAAACCCTGACCCTGGCCAGATAAGGCAGGCAGGAGTTAAGTTCAGGCCAAGGTTTGGTTTAGCCTCTAATTGACGTGTATCATACATGTTAAAGCTGAGCTGGTCCCAGGGGCAGCTGACCTCACAGTCACTGCCCCTCGTCACTGAGGCTTCTCTGGGAGGAGCCAGCCCCCAGGTGAGTGGTGTCACTTGTGAAGAGGTGTAGATGGAGATCTGAGCCCACGTGTGCATGCCCACGCCTCAGAGGCAGCGGGACCTGCTGGCACAGCGCACTGGCTGGGCTGTTGGAGGAGCTCCTTGTCAGCCATGGCACCAGATTGAGCCTAAAACCTCGTGGGAAAATTGAGCCATTGGATGCTGGGGGCTGAGCCCGCCGGGAAGGAGAACAATGCCAGAAGCAGAATCCAGTTGTTTATTCCTAAGGCACCAGGTAGAACTGGAATTTGCCGCCCTCCTAGTTCAGTAACGGCCTGGATTTCTCTGAAATGGCCACATGTTTCACTTCTCTACATTTAGGAAGGACAGTGGCTCCTTGGCAGCAGGTGCTGGCTTAGCCCTAGTCCAGGAGGGTTGCATAGCTGTCTGACTACAAAAATCGAATGGGTATTAGTTCAAACAGTGCAGTGAAATAAGCAATGGTTTAGTTTTAAAACCTGAATCATTTGAAAAATTTATCTGAGGTAAAATGTTTAAAATCATTTTTGACCTTTAGCCTGTCCTGTCAGAGCTCTGTTGTAAGGCTGGGTCAAAGCGGATAGGCGCGGGGGCGCAGAGCTGCATGTGGAGGAAGCTGTGCGGGAAAGCCATAGGGATCCAGGGCTTGTTAGTGTTTTGGGCTTCCTGATGGACCCCCTCCCCCCACCCCCCGTTCCCCACGTAGAAAGTCTGTCATCAGTTGTGACAGTGTCAGTAAGAAAAAGTTTCCACTGCCAGCCTGGTCCTTACCCCCTCCCCCCCCAAGTGCCAGGGCTGGTCCTGGGGGCCCGACAGGAGCTAGGGCATCTGCGGACAAGAACTACATCTGTAAACAATAAGGAGAAAGCCAGGTGGGAACTTACAGGAGGCCCTTTAACAGGCCTAATAGAAGGGTCACATCCAAACTGGAAGGAGCAGTTAATGTCCCTTCACTCTCTCTGAAAGGAAGGGAAGAAAGTACATTCACCAGTTCCTGTTCGCTCCTTCAGGGTCCTGTGGCCTGGGAGTCCACTGCCCGTCAGAGAGGCGTGTACTGATTGTCTATGGCCCGCAGGTGGCTCCGGGAGGAGGAGTCCATTTCGTAGTCTGAGTCCCGGGCACGGTTGGCAGGCTCCGACTCCAGGTGCCGCAGGCTGTTGGCCAGTTCCTCGGGCGAAGGCACCAAGTGGAAGATCTGCTCTTGGGGGGAGGAGCGGCCTGGGAGACCCTCCGGGCCCAGCCCCCGTGGACAGCCGGAGGAGCTAAGGTGGGGAAGGCCCAGCTCTGAATCCCAGCGAGAGAGGGAGAAGGGGAACAGGACGGTGTTGGAGGAACCTGGGGGACAAGTGACAAAGAGGCCATGTCAGAAGGTTTGCGGCAGCAAGCTTTCCCCTCTACATGGTTCCCTGGATCCTCCACCCCTTTATCAAGGGGCACTGGGTTCACACCTGGTGGCTGGGAGACGACCACCACGTAGCTGGACAGCCGGACGTCGCAGGCCGATCCACACTCGAGGGGGATGGGCGAGCGCTGGAAGTGGTGGAGCATGTCCATGACCGAGGGGAAGTGAAGGTGCTGCACGCGGCACTGGCCCCGCTCGGTCAGCGACAGACGCAGGTGCTGCATGGGGAGGAAGGGGAGGCTCAGCAGTGGCCCCTAAGGGCCTTGAACTTGGGGGGAGCAGCCCCACCTGCCTTGGCTATACCTTGGCTATGCCTTGGAAGTTGAATGTGAGCACATACTCCCCACGCCGGGTCTCGCTCTGCCGTACCAGGAACACTCCGTGAGCATCAGGGCCCTGCAGCTGAACCAGCTGAGCTGCCTTCACTCGGGAGATAGGGCCGTGGAACCAGGGGTAGCAGGACAGGAAGTGATCTGTCTTCTGGCAGGCTGGGTCTAGCAACCCCCCAGGAGAAGCACCTGGTTGAGAAGATGTGTAATGGTGACCCCCCTGGGGCACCTCACGACCTGGGCTGAGGCTGGGTTCTGACGCACCCAGAGCACAAAGGCCCCGACCCCTCACCTTGGTTCAGGGAATCTGTGCTTCCCCTGGGAGAGCTGGCTGTGCCAGGCTCCGGAGCGGAGGGAACGTGCAGCTCCGGGTCTGTGCTCTCCAGCCTGCAGAGAAGGGGGCGGTTAAGGGTCTGGGAAGAGCAGGGTTGGTGTCAAAGCTGAGATGCGAAGGGAGTCTGGTGCCTCACCCTTGGCCTGTGCACTTCCGGAGCTCAGCCATCCACGAATTCAGCTGCTGCTCGTCTCCCACCTCAAAGATGATGTCTGTCCGGTCCTTTACCTGGTGGGAGGAAGGGAGCAGCTGTGTGGGTCCGTGAGCCGTGTGTGCATGTGTTCCCCCGGGTGTGGAAGCTCCATCACTCACCTTCAGCACAAAGGTGTAGAGGTTGTCGGGCATCTCGAGGCGTGTGCATCGCCGGACCTCCTGGAGGCTGGAGCAGGCTGCTTGTAGCTTGGGCTTTGAACTCTAGGAAACCCAGAGGTTACTCAGGCTTGTCCCTGATGGCCCCTTGCCCACCCAGGCCTCTGTTTTTCTGCTCAGCAGGCACCCCAAGTCTGGAGGAAGTTTGCGTTCTGGCTTGCAGGAGCCCGCAGAGGGTCCTCTTGTAGCCTCTGAAGCACTGTCCCCACATCCTGAGATCCCCAGAAACCTGTGTGGGCTGAGAGCCAATCCCCCTCACCTGGACGTGCGCCATTCCAGCATGACACATGCCTGCCTGCTGCCATCTGCTTCTCCCCACTGGGGAGCAAAGAGCTTATGCAGCCAAAACCCCTGAACAAGCCCAGAGAGGGGGCATCAGTGTCCACCCCCATCCACCTTTCTCCTGGTGCTGCCTGGCTGCTAGGGCCCCAGGTCATTGTGATGCCTTCAGCCCACCACCCCCCCTTCCATCAGCTCCCCACAAGCATGGGTCTCCTGGGCTAGCAGCCACCCTGGGAAGAGGATGCTATATCACCACATAGTCCAGAAGAAGCGCAAATCTTGGAAGTGAAGCCATTTGCCTGAGGAAGGAAAAGATCAGGCTTTGAACGCTAGAACCTCGAATTTCCCAAACCTCACTAATCTATCCTGCCTTCAAGTCTCAGGGCAAGGTGGGAGGGTTTGGCTGGAGGGTGGAGGCTTCTGCCAATGAGCCTGAAGGGGCAAAGCCTGGCACAGCCTCTCCGTTACAGCCAGCCGAAACCCTCACAAAACAGTGGGGCCAAGGGTCTCCATGACACCCACAGCACACACGGTTCAGAGCAGGTGGGAAACGGTCCCCGAGCCCTTTGCCAGCAAGAGCCCTTTCTTCCAGGTCCTGAGTGAGCCTGGCTGGAGCAGGAGGCTCTGGAGCACCCTAGAACCCTACATTGCCCCCCATCTCCTCCATTTCCTCTGGTGACAAGCCCGATAAGCTTGTTTCTTCAGGGTCATGAGATGTTGCTGGCTGCTTCCAGCAGAGACCAAAGGAGATAAGATGGTGGAAAGAGCCTGAGATGGGTTGGGGAAGCCCCCCTGCCTCCAGCAGCTCTTTTCCCTGGGCCAGGAAGAAAGCCAGGTGCACCTGGGGAACAGCACAGCCCCTAACACATTGCACAGGGTGGGGGTGGAAACAAGAGGTGGGCTTAGGGGGATCCGACCTCTACCTCTGCCCAGAGGCTGCCTTTTTTCCAGAACTGACCCCCAAAGCCCTGCGCTTCCCCATGCCGTAGGCACGCAGGAGCGGGCAGACTGGCTAGTGAGGGTTGGCCAAACAGGCTCTTCCCAGTCCAGGCCCCTCCCAGCAGGTCCCAGTCCTGCCCTGGCTGCTGGACACAGCATCTGGGGACAGTAATAGCAGCTCTAGGAACCACTCACTTTGTCTAACATCACAAGTCGAGGGAACAGAGCGCGGCGGGTGGCACAGCTAGTAAATCCCAGCCCCAGTGTTTCACCTTTCCAGTCTCTCTTCCCCATCCCTTCCTTGTACCCCAGTTTCTCAGCCTGGGAGTCAGGTGTGGGGCCTGTGCACCCCTGGCAGCGTTCACAGCCAGCCAGTCTCGGAGCCTGTTTCCTGTCTACAGCAGGGTAAGGGACGGAGGGCTCGTTCCTTCCTTCTGCTTCTGCAGTTGGTCCTGCCTACCCCCACCCCCGCCGCTGGCTCCAGCCTCAGGATCCCCGAGAGGAAGTAGGCCAGGCCAAGAGGGGAACAGGCCGAGTCTCCCTTTCAGTTCCACTCCAGGCCTGGCCTCAGTCCCAGCCCAGGGAGTGTAGAGATTAAGCAGCAAAGCCACTGGTTTCACTCTGAGTGTGGGGCCTCCGTGCCAGCTCCGCCCCTGCAGCTGAGGAACTGCTGACCTGGCGGCTGTGGTGGGAAGAGGATTCCCCCTCGGCACCTGAGGGCCCTGGCCCACAAGTGATGTGGAACTTGTCCTGGCCACTTACCTTCCTGAGGCTGAGCATGACGGCTTCTTCCTGTCTCCCCGGGTAAGAACTGGGATCTGAAGCAGGGGCGCTAACTACGTGCTGCCTGAGCGTGGGGCGATGCCAGAGGCTCTGCCCAGATTGGAGGCGTGAGAGCATGAGGACAGGACTCAGGAGCACCAGGTGCCTTTCTGGTTGAGCGCTGTGAGGGCACAGAACTGTGATGGTGAGAAGCGAACCCAAACAGCACCACAGGGACATCTGGGGGCATCAGGTCCCCTGCTCTCATGCCCTCTAGCCCACCTGTCTTACCAAGCAAGCTGGGCCAGCAAGCAGCTGCTCTCTGGACCCACCTGAGTCACAGCTGTGCTTAGGTGGTCAAAACGGCAAAGCCACTCCAGGTATTTGCTATAAGCAGTCACCTCACCCACCACCTCCTGCAGCGTCCACTCCTGGGAGCAAGTCTTCCCAGTATCCAAAAAGCTGGCTGCTTTCTTATGGCCATTGGGACGCCCGTGGGAATAACCCATTTTTTCTGTGCTCTGGCTGTTAGGAAGCAAAGATGCAAACCAGCTCTGCCACTACCCTCACAGTAGGGCCTGCACTCTACAGCTACCCTTACTGGGCTTTATAATCCCTCCAGGCTCTAAGGTCAGTCCTGACCCTCTGCTTGTACAGCCCTGGAGAAAGGGCTCAGCCCTCCTGCCTGTGTGTCTTCGTCTTTAATAGCCCCTCTCTTCACAGGGTTAGTGTGGTGGCTGGCTGGGGCCTGAGGCCAGCCAGGTGGGCCCTCTACAGCGGCAGAGGACTAGGTTACAGACCACCTCAGCATGCAGCTCCCTCTCCACCTGCCAGAGTGTGGTACCATGCTCCTTTCCACCCTGCAGTGAAATTCACACCTCCTATTACCTACATGGCTGAGACAATCTACATTAAAGTACAATGTATTTCCCTGTGACTGTGCTTGAGTTTGTTTGAAAAGGTCAAGAACATGGAGGAGCCAGAGGGCAGGGTGAGCTTTGGAAGGACAATCGGTTAAGTGGCCATTAAAACTGGGCAGAAACTTCCATGTACTTCTACGTAAGACGGCGCAAGTCCTGGCTCTAGGTTTGTCGTCGGGTACTTTTGCAGGGTGGTGGGAACGCTGTGCCTCCACCCCAGGGGCCCTGTGACTCTTCCTGGAAGCAAGGAAAGCGAGGGTGAGCAGACCTTCCTCCTGCAGGCCTTGCTGTCCCTCACCTGCACCCGCCACTGCTCCCCGAGTGCTGAGGCGACAGCCCTTCCAGCTTTCCAGGGACCTGGATGTACCCTAGTCTACCTTGTCCTCACAACCACCTTGAGACCCTGGCAGAGAGACTGGCCAAGTCCTCACTGAGCTCCAGGCGCCGGTGCCCCACAGGAACAAGACTGTGTCCCCCAGTGAGGTGGTCACAGTAGGCCCCGAAGTCCCCATGGTTTGGGGAAGTGGAGCTCATGCTGAACCCCTCGACAGGGGCAGGCCGGACTCTCACAATGGCCTTGTCCCATCCACTGTGACCTGCCTGGCCACTAAAGGGGCCTTTAACCTTGAGTGAAATCTTTGAGGAGAGACCAGTCCCTGGCAGTCTTGTCTCTCCAAGGGCTTTGGGGCCCTCCCTCCTCTCCTACAAATAGCAGTGGCGGGACAGGAAGCTGGAAATCTAGGTTCCCTTGAGCGCATCTTGTGGCCTGGAGCCTGGCTCTGAAGGTGGGTCAAGAGCCCTAGCTCCACCATTTAGTAACTGCAGCCTCAGTTTACATGGCGACCATAGGCAGAGCCTGCTCGCCTCCCAGGAGTAGGGGAGGAAGGTTGAAAACAGACACGGCTAATTCCAGATCCCAGTCATAGAAAGCTTGGCCCTGCCAGCCCAGCACCAGAATGGATGCTGCCTGGATGGATGAGCAACATGCAACATCGTTATGGAAAACGCTTGTTCAAGTCTTACTGATGGGTATCAAAGCAGCCTTTAAAAATACCACGCGAGAGAAAGAAAATACCCTGCCTTGTTCCACAAGGATTTTAGTCGGGTTACAGGGACACTCAGGGAATCCCACTCGCCACACGTTTGTCTGTTTCCTGGCAGCCAATGGAAAGGGGTTTCCAAGAGAGGGCAGCCCTTGTGCACAGCAATCCATTAAAGGCTCTGAGAAGAACTGGAGCAGAGAAACCTGTTGAACCCATGTGTTCCTGACTTGGGCCACCCAGTGTCCTGCTCAGAAACCTTGGAGCCTGCACAACTGCTGCCCAGCAACCTCCCCATCCTGGGGTTTGGGACATAGTTCTGGCCTTAAGTCGCAATTCTGCCTCATCCTCGATGGACAAGCAGCTCACCTCTCCCAGCCCGAGTCCCCACTTTCGTAAAGAGGGGTAACAGTGCCACCGCCCCTCCCATGAGAGAGCAGCAATATAGCCTGTACAAAGGCGCTCACGGTGGGTATGGGAAGGTCCTGGGAGCAGCACCAGGTGGGGATGAGCCTTAGGAACCCAGAGAAGCTGTGGTCAGCTCCAGAGCCAAGCGCCCCCCACCCTCACGCTGTCCACTGTCCCTGCCCCGCAGGCATCTCTCAGGTTGTCTCCACTCGACCATGTGCTCCAGAGGCCTCCCTGTTCCCTTTGTGTCTTCAGCACGGCACAGAGTAAGGGCCTGTAAGTGTTGGCTGAACACTCTCCAGAGTGAGAAGGTGGAGGAAAGGCATAGGAGATTAAGGGAACACCAAGAAGTAATGCCCAGAGGTCAAAAAGTACAGCCGAATCCACAAGATGGCAAGAGATCTGCTGTGGCTAGACATGACGCTGACAGCCTCACCCTACCCTTTAGTGAGCACCTACTGTGTGCCTGGGCTGTCTACCAGTGGCTTCTGGACTGTTGAATCCACGGGCCAGCGCTATTCAAAAGTTTTCACAGAAAAGAGCCTATCAAGGGATGGAGGTGCTGGGACTAAAGAAGTAGGAAGGTCCTTGTTCCAGAGTAAGACAGTCCTTGGTGTTAAGTCTGGGACACTAGGTGAGAACCTTCACCACTGCTCTGGGCCATCTGTCTGCCTGAAGGTCGGTGGGGGCTCCC